TCCCAGGAAACCCATGCTCAGGTGTAGACACCGTTCAGATAGTGCAAGAGAGGCCCAGCACATGCCGACAGTGGTGTCTCTGCAAACCAGCCTTGCTGGTCAAGGAAACCCGAAGCCTCGAGGTCGGGGGGATGGATGGGGGGTGGGGTGGGCTCTGAGTTAGCTTCTTGTAGACAGCTGACTTCAGGGCCTGCTTAGGTCAGACTTTAGAGAGAGAGTGAGAGAGAAGCTGATGCACATCTATTCTGCTGTCCCGAGGAACAGTGTTTGCCTTGGATTTAAAGGGCACTGCAGTACCTCCCGGCCACACTTAGAAGGCCCTTGCTGTGTTTGTAGTCATGGTGCCAAATGCCCTGGAATCTCACTTAATCCTCACAGCCGGCCGCTCTCACAATGCTCTGTCCACTTTACATAGTGGGAAAGAAAGACTCAGAAGTGAAGAGAAGGTTGTTGCCGGTCACAGGGCACAAGCGACAGAGCTGGTTCCATCGGAACAGCGTGCTCCCAGCAGCCGTGCTCCTCTGTGAAGTGTGCTCCTCTGTGACGTGTGCTCCTCTGTGACGTGTGCTCCTCTGTGACGTGTGCTCCTCTGTGAAGTGTGCTCCTCTGTGACGTGTGCTCCTCTGTGACGTGTGCTCCTCTGTGAAGCGTGCTCCTCTGTGAAGCGTGCTCCTCTGTGAAGTGTGCTCCTCTGTGAAGTGTGCTCCTCTGTGAAGTGTGCTCCTCTGTGAAGTGTGCTCCCAGCAGCCGTGCTCCTCTGTGAAGTGTGCTCCTCTGTGAAGTGTGCTCCTCTGTGAAGTGTGCTCCTCTGTGAAGTGTGCTCCCAGCAGCCGTGCTCCTCTGTGAAGTGTGCTCCTCTGTGAAGTGTGCTCCTCTGTGAAGTGTGCTCCTCTGTGAAGTGTGCTCCCAGCAGACGTGCTCCTCTGTGAGGTGTGCTCCTCTGTGAAGTGTGCTCCTCTGTGAACGCTGTAGTTTCATCCTTCAGAATCTTCCTGTCCAGGGTCTCTAATGAAACTTTTAGGGAACATATTTTCTAGGTCCACCCGCCCTTCCCCAGTCAAACTTTTTCTTAACCTTTTTATTTTCTCCATTTTGTGTTTTGTTGTTGTTGTTGTTGTTGTTTTTGTTTGTTTTTCAGAACAGAAGGGAGCTCTGTTCTTTTTAAAGTTTATTTATTTATCTAATGGGTGTGTGTGTGTGTGTGTGTGTGTGTGTGTGTGTGCGTGCTCACACTTGTGCCCTGGGATGCACGTGGAAGTCAGAGGCCAGCTTTCTGGAGTCAGTTGTTTCCTTCTACCTTGGAGCAGAGTCTCTCGTGCTGTTTCTGCCACGCTGTGTACTCCAGGCTAGCAGGCCTGTGGACTTCCAGGTAATTCTCCCGCCTCTGCATCCCATCTCACTCTAGAACGTCTAGGATCACAGAGGGGCACCACCAGACCTGGTCTTTCACATGGGTTTGAACTCGGGACATCAGGCTTGCACCACAAGCACTTTTACCCACCGAGCCATCTTGCAAACCCCCACCCCCCGACCCCCACTTGACCTTTTAATCATTGTATGTCCATAACAGATGCTGTTGTGTGCGCAGAACCAAGTTAGGCTGGCTTGGGTAAGTGAATTCAAGGATAAGTCACACACTACCCAAACCCTCCAAACCAAAGCTAGAAACACAAGAGGGCTTGGCTGTGCAGGGTATCATGGTGCCCGTGCCCTGCCGCACAGGCTGCTCACCCAGCCCAAAGAATGAACGGATTGTTGTCTATGCTTTCCCCTTTCTGTGGCTCCAGATGTTGTATTTAATTTTCAAAGGTAAAACACTGCAACGCAAATGTGGTCATAAGTCAGGAGGGGGTGTGTGCGCACGTATATGCACGTATATGCATGTGCATCCATGTATTCATATGTGAAAGGCAGTCTATCAGCACCAGCTAAAAACGTGAAGCAGTCCATCTGTGCTGGAAATTGAGGACACCATATGCTTGCATTTCTAGGTCTTCCTAAGAATTGTATAAGTGCCCCCAAAGCCAAGAGGGCAGGATCAGGGCCAGCCATGGGACACGTTTCCAATGAGGAATGCTGAGGAAAGGCTGTCCTTGAGGAGACCTAGCTTGCCAGCCCATGGAATGTTCCCAGCCTTGGGGTTTAAACAAAAACGGCATTCAAAGGTTGAGTGCTCTGTTGAAAGCAATCTGTCTCCTTGCTTTGTCTTGGGGACTTATCAAGGTGAACCCTGGCTCAGAGAGGCACTGGCTATTGAATTGAAAGCTGGGCACTCCAGCCAGGCAGGCCCGGTAATCCTCCCAGCCATCTCTAATTAGCAGGCTCTGGGGGCCCTCAGGGTCACACAGTCCAGGCAGAGGTGAGATAAGCGAGAGGTCTAGTCTCCTCACTCCGGGAATAGTGCTGCAGAAAGGCATCCTGGGAGGAGAGCTGTGGGAGGTAACACAGTCCGGCCATGGCCACGAAAGCTTATCAAGGGCTCCCTGTGTGCTGGCCCTCTAGAGAGGGACCTATCTGATTGGCGCAGACCCACTGTGGGCCTCTGCAGCATTCTTGTCTAGAAAACCTTCCCTTATTACCCTCCACTCCTGCTCTCTATTCTACTTGAGTAAGGCCCCTGTACAGAGACCTGAGACTTAAAGTTTCATTTTCAAATAATGCATCATGTAATTGGTTTAGTGGGTGATATCCATCATTTAAAAAAAAATACAGAGAGAAAGTAGACTGGAATAGAACAGGGATGTAGCTGGGTGCACTCAAGATAATAAAGGTATGCATGGTCATGTGACTGTGACATTACGATCTAAGAAAGTAATTTTTGCTTTTTCTTTCAGGACTAGGGATTGAACTCAGGGCCTCAGGCATGCTAGGCCAGCACTCTACTATGTGAATGAATGAAGCCCACAAAAGTGTTATAGGTGAAACAACATGACGTCAGAAAGAAGCGGTGACAGAAAGATGTGAATATATGGGACAAGATGGACACGATGCCAGCAGCCATTCAGTGTAGACAGTGACTCCGACACATCTGTTGTATTATCGCCTGTGTTTTTGTGTCCTGTCAAGATTTTTTTTAATGAAAAAAAGTTTAAAAGCACACATAAACACAGAACAATATTTATGTTACAGATACATTGAAATTAAAAACTAAACATTAAGAGAGCTAGAGAGAGGGCTTTGTGGTTAAGAGTGTTTACTGCTCTTACAGAGCATCCGGCTGGGTTCCCAGAACCCACATGGCAGTTCACAACCATCTATAACTCCAGTTCCAGACGATCCCATGTCCTCTTCCGGCCTCAGCGGGCACTGCATACATGTGGTGCACAGGCATACATTCAAGCAATACACCCCTACATATAAAATGAAAATAAGTAAATCTAAAAAAAAAAAAAAAAAAAAAAGGAACAGCAAACCGCCCGTTCCTGTAGTTTCAGGAGATCTGATGCCCCTCCTCTGGCCTCCATGGGTACCTGCATGCATGTGGTGCGCATAACCTCATACAAGCGCGCACACACACATATGCATACATCTTTTTAAAAAGATAAGTATCAAATCAAAAGGGCTACTTGTGAGGATAGGGAGTGGAGCATAGTAGTGGAGCGCTTGGCTAGCATGTGTGAGGGCCTGGATTTGATCCCTAGCCATGCTCAGCCCCTCTCCCTGTGGGGGATAGGGAAGATTAACTATAAGTTAGCAGAATGGGAGTTTGCCATGTATCTTAGTTAGGGTTTCTGTTGCTGTGAAGAGACACCAGGACGAGGGCAACTCTTATAAAGGAAAAACATTTAATTGGAGTGGCTTACAGTTTCAGAGGTTTAGTCCGTTATCATCGTGATGGGGCACGGTGTCATGCAGGCAGATATGGTGCTGGCTACATCTTGATCAGAAGGCAACAGGAAGTGGGCTGCCTCACTGGGCATGGCTTGAGCATGTATGAGACCTCAAAGTCCACCTCCACAGTGACACACTTCCTCCGATAAGGCCATACCTCCTAATAATGCCACTCCTTTTGGGGGCCATTTTCTTTCAAACCACCACAGCATGACAGGAAAAAAAATTAGGAAAAAGAACTGGAGAAATATTTGGCTTTCCAACATTCCTCCAAAGCGCCCTCCCCCATCACTTCATACATCCAGAGGAACACAGGTTAGGTCAGGTCAGGACTAAGTGACAAGGTGCATTTGGCAGGCAGCCAGCGGGGCCTTCCCAGCACCCACCTTTTTCCTTCCAGTCCCAGGGCATGGTTCAGCTCTTCCTTTGGAAGCATCCTTTCATGGATTTACCATATATCATCTTGAGACATGATCATGGCTCTCTCTTCCCGACCACACTGAGAAGCAGGGGCTGTGCCTATGTGTCCCCAGCCTATGACACTAATGTACTCTGTAAGAAGAGCTATGTAGTGAGAAACAGTCTGTGGTGGTGGATTGTTATCTGTGTTGTCTTCGTAGAGCTCTGAAGCGGGCAAAGTGCTTTCTCCATCTGGCCAACAAGGGACTGGGGGCCAGGGAGGCTGAACATCTCAAAGTCACGCTATTATATGGAAGTAGAGCTAGGATCCAGTCTGTCCACAGAGCCGGTATTCTCAGTCACTGCCCCATACTGTCTTGAGGGAGGCATGGAGGAGAAACGCTGGACACTCCCAAGCCAAGGGCTGAACTTGATGATGTTTGTTCTGAGTGTTGTGTGGCTGGGAAGGGTGGGAGTGATCAGAGATCCTGAGAACGAAAGAGACGAGTGTGACACTAACAGCCACTGATGGCCTCTAAGTGATAGTGGTCAAGGCCAAACATCTCCCCTAAATTGTTCAGGGGCTGAGATGGCTGGGGCTCAGTTCTCTCTCATGAGAACGATAAGGGTCTTGTCCCTTCAATCTCCCCACCCATTTCTTTTCCATTTTGAGACAGGATCTCATGTAGCCCAGTTTGGCCTCAAACCTTCAAGGATGGCCTTGAACTCCTGATCCCCCTACCTCTGTCACTCGAGTGCTTCTATTACAGATGTGCACCACCACCTCCATCTTCTGTGACAGATGTACACCACCACCTCCATCTTCTCTGACAGATGTGCACCACCACCTCCATCTTCTATGACAGATGTGCACCACCACCTCCATCTTCTATGACAGATGTGTGCCACCACCTCCACCTTCTGTGACAGATGTGCACCACCACCTCCATCTTCTATGACAGATGTGCACCACCACCTCCATCTTCTAAACTGGTCTCAATCACTGGTTCTCAATTAAGAGTAATTTTGTTCTTTAGCATACCTCTGGTAATGTCTAAGATAATGTTCATGGTTACAGTGTGGATAAGAAGGTTATGGGTTGGTCAGTCTTAACTTGACTGTTTTGAGATGTAGGTAGGAGATTGGTAAGTCACACGTCTGGGTGTCTGTGAGGATGTTACCCATGGGTAGGGAGAACTGCTCTGAATGTGAGCATCACCACTGTAGCATGAATCTTAAAAGTTCTTATTAATAAAAACAAACCCAGGGCCAGGTACTGGGGTGAATGCTGGAAGATCAGAGATGCAGAACAAGCCACAGCTTCCTCACCTCACCAATTCCTCAGCTGATCCTGTTTCCTCAAACTGGAAGCTTCTGAGTCCTCATCCAAATGGATCTCAGCTGAACTGCTGCTAAAAAGCCTAAATGCTTAACCAGCCTAAAAGCTTAACCAGCCTAATTCCTGGTTTTCACGCCTTATATACCTTTCTGCTTTCTGCCATCACTTCCTGGGATTAAAGGCTCACTTCCTGGGATTAAAGGCGTGAGTCACCATGCCTGGCTGTTTCCAGTGTGGCTTTGAACTCACAGAGATCCAGATGGATCTCTGCCTCCCAAGTGATAGGATTAAAGGTGTGTGTGCCACCATTTTCTGACCTCTATGTCTGTCTAGTGGCTGTTCTGTTCTCTGACCCTAGATAAATTTATTAGGCTGCATGATATATTGGGGAACATAATATCACCACACACCACCTCCTAGTCTGGGGACCCAGGGGAGTAAAGGGGAAGGAGGAAGAGGCTGCAGAGCACTGGTGCGCTGCTCTCTCTGGGACTCGGTGGCCATGAGTGAAGAAGCAGCTTGGTTCTCTGTGCCTTTCCATCCCAAAGTACTGCCTTGCCACAAACCAGAAGCAGGGAGCCAGCTGTACCAGGACTAGAACCTCTGAAACTGAGGCCAAACGATTCTTCCCCTCTTCCTCTTAAGTAATTTCTCTTTAGGTATTGGTAAGAACCCCCACCCCTCTTTCACACATACACACACACACACACACACACACACACACACACACACACACACACACATACACGGCTGATGACATCTAGTAGGTAGAGACCAGGAGTCTCTAAACATGGGATCCAACAGGAAAATCCTCAACAAAGAATTTCCCCACCCCAAAATGTTACCAAGGCCAAGACTGAGGAGCCCTCTTTAAATGAGTTTTTGTTTGTTTGGTTGGTTGGTTGGTTAGTTAGTTTTAGGGGGTTTTGTTGTTGTTGTTGTTGTATTAGGTCTGGAAGATGTATCTATTGAAAACAGAACTTTAACTGTAGTAAGAGAAAAACTATTTATTGCTTATTAAGCTTTATTTAGTGAGTATGTTATGATCAATGCAACTAATTCTTAAATGAAAGATATTGGGTTTAAGAAATGGCAATTATGTGAAATATAGTATACACAATTAATACACAATAATGACATGAAACAAATGATTATACATTTTCATTTCATGCACATTTACTTTGTTATGACAATTTCTTAATGAAATTACTTTCATGGTATAAAAAGATACTGCCTTCTAAAACACTTAATGAATAATTAACAAAGGCCCCAGCAGTATAGATTTAAACAGGACAAGCAGATCTTTTCCCTCTTTTGGGAGAAATATTTAAATAGAACTCAGGTAATTAATTATGCTTGAAGGTAGTTTAGATGCTATGTGTTAAAATTCTGGGTAGTACATCACCACATAATCATATCCATTTTAGCAAGCATATTGGTTTATTTACAGCTGGGTTGCTATTTTCTCTTCCATCATTTCTTACCCTCTCCGTTTACAATATAGCCACATATAGCATATGCAAGATTGAAAAATGCCAAGTCCAGTTGACATGGGAATGGGAATGGGAAAATTTCACAAGATCCCACCCCTCCACAACAAGCTATGGGCTCCCAATGGCTGCTAAGAGAGGAAGAATCAGCCTTCTCCAGTGACGAGCTCCATCGTAAGCCGTCAGCCCTAAAGACGTGTGAATACAGGCAACAGTAAGTGGGTTCCGCCTGCTGTCCATGTACACATACACCCGAGTTTCGTATGCATACATATGCAAAATGACAATTGTAGGAGGAGAGATCATGAATTTGATCGGGAGTATGGCAGGGGATGCAACATGGCTGAAACACATTATTTATGTAGACCAATCTGGAATCAAACTCAGAAAGATTTGCCTTTGTCTGTTTTCCAAGTGCTGGTATTAAAGACATGTGCTACCATGCCCAGAAAAAAAGTTTAAATTTTTAAAAAGACATTATTTATTTATTTATTCGTTTGTTTATTTGTTTGTGAGTGTGTGTATATGTGTGCGTGTGTGCACGTGTATGTGCGCGCGCGCGCGCGTGTGCGTGTGCGTGCACGCACACGATGTGTATGCCACGTGCCTCGCAGGTCAGAAGAAGACATCAGATCTCCTGGAACTGAAGATGGTTGTGAACTATCATATGAATGCTGGGAACTGAACCTCAGTCCTCTGCAAGAACAACTAGCACTCTCAACGGCTGAGTCATCTCTACAGCTCCCCTCAAACCATTCTCTACCCGGAAGATGCTTCTGAAATTTCATCCACTCTGCTTCCTCGAGTGCCTTAGCTCCCACAGGCTCTGAATCCCGGGCCTTGGCACACACAGGCTATTGTCAAGTGGTGCCTGAGTGCTGGGCTGGGGAGTCTCACGTAATGGCATTTATTTGAGAGCTTGTTAGAGCCAAGAGCCATTGCACCACACTGCCTTCCCACTTTCGGACGCTTAGTTCACCGGTGCACTGGTTGGCATTTTAGAGCGGCTCTCGGGGAAAGCCCATTTTGCCCAGTCTGTGGTATTTGACAATTTCCATGGCGCAACTATTCCAACCTTTGCCAATTTCGTGTTGCCAAGGTGAAGCTTGCTGGCCTGCAAAATCCATAAAACTAAATAAAACAAATGAGCGGCTGCTGGTGCAAGCTCTCCCACACCGCTGCTTAAGCAGCCCCAGTGTCTCGTCGTCTATATTCTCTCTTTAGCCACACAAAGGCTGTATCTATTGAGTCAATGGCTTGGTGAAATCAATGCCGACTCTTCACTCACACAATAGCTCACACTGAGCATTTCTACTCAGGTGACTCTTGCACACACGCTCCCACCGCACTCCTTCCTGTACAGTGGCTGCTCAGGATTCAGCCCCCTTCTGTTTGCGGTTTCCTCTCTTCCAGAGCACTGGTTCTCAGACTTCCACCAGCACTGGAATCACCCAGAGAGCTCAAAACAGAGTTTCCCTCCCTCCCTCCCTTCCAAGACAAGATCTCAGTATGTAGCACAGGCTGCATCTTGAACTCCCTGCATAGCCCACAATAGCTTCGAAATTGCAATCCTCCTGCCCCAGCTGCCTAAGTTCTGCAATTGCAGGTGTTCACTATCATGCATGGCTAAGAATGCACCTTTTCTAGCAGGTGCCCAGGTGTTGCTGATGCTGGTAGATTAGATATGGTTTTAAGAGTCATTACTCTAAGGCAAAGGCTCTCAACCTTGACTGCACACTGGCTGGAGTCACCTGGGAGTTTTAATAGGTTCTGATGCCTGGCTTCTGTTCCCATTGCCAAATTTCTCTGTGTGATTTCAGTGTGCAGCCAAAGAGGAAGTCATGCTAAGGAGTACCACACCACTGTTTCCTCCATCCCCCAGCTGGTGGATTTTTTGTAACAGTTTGGATATAAGCAACCCTCTAAAAGGCACATGTGTTGAAGATGAGGTCTATATCTGGATCTAGTCATTGAGAGCCCCCGCTCTCAGTCATGAGAACTCTGCCTTCTTCAGTGACCTAATCTACGGATGGATCCGGAGTGTGATGTTGTTATTAGAGAGGCGATGGAAACTTCCAGAGGTGGGGCTTAGTTGAAGAAATAGACCACAGAGGGTGTGTTGTTTGGGGCTGTATGTTGTCTTAGGCCCCTTCCTCAATCTGTTTCCTGTCAGCTGAGGTAAGTTGGTTTGGTCTATCAGGTGCTCCACTCCAAGTGACCTGAACACATCTTTGCTTCTGGCTCACAGCAATGGAGTCAGCTGCAAATGGAGACCCCTGAGACCATGAGCCAAGATAAATCTTCCCTCCTCCATGACATGTGTCCTGTCACAGCCAAGACAGAGGGAGAGCATAGTTCTGTGTGAACGGGTTTCTTAGCTAGGGTTCTATTGCTGTGAAGAGTAACCATGACCACAGCAACTCTTATAAAGGAAAACATTTAATTGGGGCTGGCTTACAGTACAGAAGTTGAGTCTATCATTACGGCAAGAAGCATGGTGGTATGCAGACAGACATGGTGCTGGAGAAGGAGCTGAGAGGTCTACATCTTGATCTGCAGGCAGCAGGAAAACTGTGAGCCACTGAAACTGAGCCTGAGCATCTGAGACTTCAAAGCCCACCCCTGCAGTGACACACTTCCTCCACCAAGGCCACGCCTACTCCAACAAGGCTACGTAGTCTAATAGTGCCACTCCCTATGGGCCACGCATTCAAACACCTGAGTCTATGGGGGCCATACCTACTCAAAGCACCACACTAGCAGTGAAGAGACATTATGACCGTGACAACACTTATAAAGGAAGGCATTTAACTGGGGCTTGCTTACAAGTTCAGAGATTTAGTCCATTGTCATTATGGTGAGAAGCATGGTGGCACATAGGCAGACATGTTGCTGGAGAGGTAGCTGAGAGTTCTACATCTGGACTGTCAGGCAGCAGGAAGAGATAGTGACTGGGTCTGGCTTGAGTACTACTTGAAACCTCAAAGCCCACCCCCAGTGGCCCACTTCCTCCAGCAAGGCCACATTTACACCAACAAGGCCACACCTCCTAATTGTGTCACCTCTTATGAACCTATGGGGCCCATTTTCATTCAAACCACCACAAAGGGCTTGTGGCTGAGCCTGGGAGTGATGCACATGTGTTAGGCTAGCTCACATCCCATGGCCTGGAAGAGTCCCTTGATGGAACCTCCCATAGGTTGGGAAATGTGATCCAGCTGGCTGCTACAGAAGGAAAGGGGTGTGGCTTCCTAAGCAACTCTCTGGCGGCTATCATCATTGCTGTTTGGGGAACAAGTACACGTAGGCAGACCTCCAGATGGGTGAACCTCCAAGTATGTGTGCCAAAGTTAGTGTGGGGGAGAGTTCAGATTTAGGGCGAGTGTGTGAGGGTAAAACCACCAAGGGCAATATGGGGTGTTTTTATATCCATTCCCCAGATGGAACGTATGTCAAAACTAAGCCCTACAGACAGTGCTCATAGTGCCAGGGCTATGGAATGGAAGTGGGTAGTCGTGTGTGTGTGTGTGTGTGTGTGTGTGTGTGTGTGTGTGTGTGTGTGTGTGTGCGCGCACGCGTGTGCATATACACATGGGGTAAAGACCTGGCGTTGAGGCTCTCACTGTTTTGCCGAGGGAGACACAGAGACACTGCTTCCTTCCTGTAGTAAAGGGAAATATTGCTTCAGGGCAGCCATTGGCATCCATACCCTTCCTGTCTGTCCTGTCACTCCAGGAAAAGTTTGAAACCTTGCCGTGGGTTTTAAATGGAGCTATTATTCATACTATAAAAGGATTCTTTGCATAGTGAGCAGCCTCTTTAGACATTTCTGCTTTCCTACACACAGATTAACTACACTGAGTCAGAGCCCTCCATGCAGAAAGGGAAGGAGGGGACAGAGGGGGCAGGCAGGAGGGGAGAGGGAGGGACCTCTGCTTTCAGAAAAGCTGATCTGAGAATGATAGCATTAAAAAAAAAAAAGATACCACCATCACGAACCATGGCAACAACAACAAAACTCTGAACACTCTGACTGCTCGGGAACAGTTAGCAACGCAGAGGCCCAGAAGCCCAACGGGAGAGGCAGACTGAGCTGGGATTATAGACTTCATGCTTCCCAGTTACACAAGTTGCAGCCTGATCACTCAGGTCCTGGGGCAAATTCATTTGAGTAACTGTTCAACAGCCTGTGCTCAGTTTCCGAGAAACTTTCCATGCTCTGGTTTTAATGCCAGCTCTAACTCCCTGTTCTTTGTTTTTCAGAAAAACACTGCCCTTCTCTGGTCCTTGTCCCCAGCACTGGCTTCTCCACCACAGTCAAAACTTCTGGTATGCTTAGGGACAAAGCATTAGCATCCCACATGCACGCCCTTCCTAGAGGTATGCGTACGTGCTTGTGCGCGCGCGCGCGCGCGCGCGTGTGTGTGTGTGTGTGTGTGTGTGTGTGTGTGTGTGTGTGTGTGTCCAACAGGAGGCCCTGTCCAGTGGACGTCACAACATGCTGTGCTTCAGGCTTGCACCTCAGGGTAGTCACAGAGTGGTTTTGGGGGGAAAGTATGACACACCCCCTTCCCGATTTGCCCTGTCTTCTCTTCTGAGCTACATGACACTCTGGACAAAGGTCTCTTTGCCCTTCTCTTGGAGTAGAGTATTGGCCATTGCACAACACTTTCTCGGTGAGGCGGAGCTGAGCACAGAGCTCACAGTGCCAGTGACTACACAACCAATCGGGAACTCTGGTTAGAATGGGATGGGGCACAAGTCAGCTATCCGGTGGGCCATCCCAGACTCACCGGGCTTCTTACAGGAGATACCCAGATCAACCACAGTGCTTTGGAACCCGGGCCAGTCCCGGGTATGAGATACCCCAGATGCCTCCATCTCTTGGTAGATCTTGTCTTCTTAATGACTTTGACATGCTCCTCCACTCTAACTCCATATCCAGTTTTAGGCACTGCTCATTCTCAAAACTGAGAGGAGGTCCCCTCCATCACAGGCTGTGGTAACCTGGGCACAGATCAGGTAGGGTAAGCCCTTCCCTTTGAGAGAGTGACTCCAGTGAGCATCCAACTTAAAATTATGGCTGTTTAGGCATTGTGTGCATGTGTTCTGTTATACTATGTAATTATATAGTATAACTATATGATATACACACACACACACATATATATACACACACACACATGCACACTCTTACACACACACATATATAAATGAGGAATCAATCCACAAACAGCCACACTTGGATCTGGGCTATTGGAAGACACCAAGCCGTGGCCTCAGCCACTTTGTTGGAGCCCACACCCTGGTGATTGCCCCAGCATGGGGGAGAGGTCAGTATAGCATCCAAGGGATGGATGGCATCACTGCCCAGACAGAGAACGTTCATTTTTGCAGGTGCTCAAACAGGTTTGCGTTTTAGGACTAAGATTCAAGTGAATGGTCTAATTCCTGAATACATGAAGATGTCCAGGATGCAAGTGGGTTTAGGGAGGGCAGATGAGATAAAGCTAGAGATCATCCCAGCAGGAATAGAGCCAGGAGAGAGAAGGGCATGAGGTCATTCCTAAGAGGACCAAGGATCAAGGAGCAGGTGAAAAATGAGGAGTTAGAGTGAACAAAGTTGATGACGGCAGGACAGGAGCTGTTCCGGAAGTGGTAAGGCTGGTGGCATGGACGCTGCTGAGGCCGAGGAGGATTAGGAAGTGTCCATTGATGGACAATCAGGCCAATGGTGACATTAGCTGCATGGTTTCGGTGGACTGGTATGGGGGGGGGGGGGAATGGAGGAAGCAGAGTTCCTGGAAAATGAGCGAGGAGAGAGAAGTCATCGTGTGGCCCAAGAAGTGTTCAATGACCACAGGAAGGGTGGGAGCTCAGGATATATAAGGCCAACAAGACTCACATTCAAATGCTGAGAGGACTGGTAAAGCCCTCGGAATGTGGGCCAGGGCCTTGTGGAACATTAGAAAGAGTGGTCAGGGCAGGTTTGGAGGCACATCTGTAGGGAACAGAGAGCTGGTCACTGAGGTCATCCTTAGGAGCTGTTTCTGTGATGTGCCAGGGAGATTCCTGATTGGCTGTCACAGTCGAGTGTAAAGAGGAAGAGCTGGTAGCCTAGAGCTCGGTTTCACAAGGTTGGGAAGCCCCAGCCTCTAGGAGAGTTGGCTTTGACATCTGCTCACCCTGACTGCAGGCTACTTAGCTTCTTTCTCTATTTTACTACGGCGGTTGTGAAATTGAAAAGGGCAGAGACGTCCTGGTGGACAAGGGGAGAGAGGCTCAGAAGCCCTTCTCCCTCCAAGGTGTTCCCCAGATTAGAACAGTGGAGAGGTTCTGACTGGCAGCAAGCTGTCCTTCCAGGAAGTCCCAAGGTTCCAGGCTGACTTAAAAACCTTAAATCTGGCCGGGCGGTGGTGGTGCACGCCTTTAATCCCAGCACTCGGGAGGCAGAGCCAGGCGGATCTCTGTGAGTTCGAGGCTAGCCTGGGCTACCGCGTGAGAATCAGGACAGGCACCAAAGCTACACAGAGAAACCCTGTCTCGAAAACAAACAAAAAACCTCAAATCTGTAAATACCCATGACCTTCATCATCATAGTGTGCTCTCTCTGGCCCACACCCAGGAGTGACAGAAAACAGACACGCCAAGTGTCAGGGTTGGGACAAACAGGCCTGTGGCGGTCTAAGCGCATAGGGAGGACGCCGGCAGTCACCCTAGCGGTTCTCAGCAGCCTTTGCCTGGCACCCTCTAATCCCAGCGTCCTTGGCTTGTTCTATCCCAGTTTCATGTCGGTTTGAGAGACAACTCTTGTTGAAGATGACTCGTTTGCAAGCATGGATCAGCAGAGTTCAAGGCAGGAGATGAACTAAGACCCCCTTCTCAGTCTTGAAGCTCTGGTGGTAGCAATGAGGGTAGGGTGGGGTGGGGGGGGCATGTGGCATTTGCTTCCCCCCACACACTTCAGAGTAGCACATAAACCTGACTGATGGGCTAAGGCTTCTCAGAAAAACACACGTCATCTGGCAGATGACGGCCACCATTTGGAACCAGAGGTGAGCGCAGCTTGTCATACTTCCTCAGGAGTGACAATAACAGCCCTGCTTGGGACTCAAGGCCCCTGAAAGCAGTAGGTGCTACTCCACAGGACCCTGAAGTACAAGGAACCTTCTGGCACAGAGCCACATCCGGAACTGCTGTGGGTGGTGCTAATTTAGGGCGGACTCTAAGACCGAGCCCCAGAGCGCACAGGCCAGGCTGGCGCACAGTCTTTCCCACTGAAACAAACTGGGGCTGAGGTTCTGGGAGCTACGCTGGATTTGGAGAGCAAGCAGGAAGGCCCGAGGGACTAAGATTTGCATAGGCCTCAGCTAACTGAGGTCAGGAAATCACTCAGGTGAAGTGTCTGTCCCCTGCTAAGAAGCCAAGAACTAAGGAAGAGGTGATGCCCTGGCTACAGTAACTAGATAGTACCTAGGAAAATGGGTCAGGGAAGCTTTTACATCCCAAGAAGGGACAGTTTCCTCTTGGCCTCTGGCTTTCCAATGTGGGTGTCCGTCACCTGGGGAGCTTATTAACCACGCTGCTGACAGCCTCATCAAGCCTTTCCTAACAAGCCCCAGGAGATGCCTCTGAGCTGATGGCCTCGGGATCCACACGCGGAAACACACAGCTCATCATGCACAACCCGGTCCCCAAGAAGTGACAAGGACACAAGGCAGACTCCATTATAATAGCCATCTTTATTTGTAAAAATCCAGATATAAAACGTAATCTTTCAGTCTTTCCAGGTTTTCCTTTTTTACAAAAACAAAAAGGCACATATAAACCTTGCCCACTGTCGTTCCTGTACAGGGTGTTTTCAGGCAGCCCTCCCCCCGCCCCCCATGACAGCTACATGCTTCATTCCAGGACGTCTGGCTCCCCACATGCTTTGGCGCTTTCCTACCAGGGTAGAGTTCCGAGCTCCAAGACTTGAAGTACACAAAGAGGGGGTGGGGGTGGGTGCAGTGTGGCACGATGCTCCACATGCTCCACGGCGTGCAGGGCAGTGGGTTAGTAGTAGGTCTCCTTCTCCACCCAGCCTGGGAGAGAGGGAGAGAGGGATACATACAGTGAGTGAGTCCGCTTTCAGGAAAAACCAGGACAGTGACTCCCTAAGGATAACTGTGTGTGTGTGTGTGTGTGTGTGTGTGTGTGTGTGTGTGTGTGTGTGTATGTGTATGTGAGTGTGCGTGTGGGTGCGTGCGTGTGCGTGTGTGTGTGTATGCGAGACTCTGTGAGTGTTCGAGGCTGTGTGTGTGTGTGTGTGTGTGTGTGTGTGTGTGTGTACCTGAGGCCTCAGCTGTAGCTAATTAGCTCTCTCCAGGAATACTGTGTTATTAGGTTTATGTCAAGATTTTTTTTTTTTTTTAACGTTACATTATGTTTGGTTTGTACGTTTTAAAGAGAAACCACGCTCTGTATTGACCTTAATTCAGTTCTCTATGTGGGAGACATGACGGCTGTAACCGACTGAGAAGGCAGGCCGGATGCTCACTTACCGCCAGGGCGTCGCCTGATGATGAGCTTCCGCACTTCGTCATACACGAAGATGAGGAGGGAGTAGGGGAAGGCACAGAACCACCACGTAGGTCTGGAGACAGAATCAGTTACCGGGTTAGACACACACGAGGCAGTTCAAAGGAAGACAGAGAAAGCACACGTCGTCTCCAAAACGAGGAGGAAACCATCAGCGGACTCACAGACTCCCCCTCCACTAGGCCTGGAGCTGCAGAAGCCAGCCTGCATTGCATGAAGGCAGCCCGTCTGCCTTGAGCTCCACTTGCCTGTGAATCGAGTTGAGCTGACTGTATTTTCTGCTAACAGTCTGGGAGTGACTGGACATTTCCTTTCTTCCTTTCCTAAAGTGCTTAAGCTCCCAAGTGCATTTGTCTCCCGCCTTGGCATTTGCAGAGAACTGCCAGTGGGGGGTCAAAGCCAGTTTATTCAGACCCTACACTCAGTTTCTGGCCAAGGAATCTGGGAGGACCAGCTGTGTGTTTTGAGTTCCCGGATCTGGGGAATAAGAGAAGTAGAGCCCTGACACATGAGAAAGGTCTTCAGGGGGCCTGGAGAGGCTGCCACAAGGTCCCCAGCAGAGAGACAGGCTCCGGGCAGCCTCCTGCAGGCACTAGGCTTCCTTGACTACGGGCTCCCGGGTAAACAAGGGAGGAAGGATGCCCGGCCAGCTTTGCAGTCCCCGCCCTTCCTATGTGCCCGAAACAGTGGAAAGGTGACCTCACTGCCTCAGCAGGGGCAGGAGCACCGAGGCTGTCAGGAGGAAGTCAGCTCACAAAAGATCCAAAGTGCCTGGAAGGTGGCGAAGTCCCGAGGCCCTGCTCCTCCTCACTGGGACTTCTCAGCTAGCTGTTTGGAAACCCGTGACCCCTTCGACCCTCTTCCCATTCAAGACTCAGGCAAGAGAATCCAACTTGGACATTGCTTGCATCTGATGCGCTGCAGGGTACTGTAGCACACGGTGACCAAAGCCATAAAGACTATTACCTGGAGATCAGAAATAGCCAGCCAATGGAGAGATATGAGAGCCCTGGACCAGGACCAGGAGGGCAAGACCACATGGAGATAAGCTCCAAGGACTTCAGCCGTTTGATGGGTTGGGAGAGAGCATCCTTACCGAAGACATAGGCAGAGAGGGTAATAATAGTGAACTAGCCTACCATGGGCTCGGGCAGGCTGTGAGACACACCCTGGGTGCCAGCCCCACCTTGCCCCATAGACTGACTGTACACACTTGATGTGGCCAAAGGGTATGGTTTCAAAGATGAGGTCAGTGGAGGGAAGTGTTGGCAAGAGGCCAGGAGGAGACATGGTCCAGATGAGTCTGAGCAATGATGGGGTTTGGGGGTGGAATTCAAGAGACTGATGCTCTCAAAGGATCTTGTGTTGGAAGAGCGCCATGCTCTGCAGCTCAACATGTTTTTATCAAGTTGTAGCTGCTCAACCTCAACCAGTTACCGGACAGCAGCGGACACATGTGGAAGTTTCCACTGGCTGCCAGATTTCATGGTGAACCCTATACATAAGAACTGAGACCTAAGAGAAGCACAAAGTCATTCTCTACGCAAAGGCCGGTCTGCTTCTGAACACGGAACGACGGGAGATCTACTTTCTAAACTGCTCAGCTCCGCCCACAACTGACTGTGAGGTCAAAAGAACCCTTTGGAGCCTCCAGGAAGGCAGAGAGGTGACACGTGACCAGGGCGAGCAAACAGACTCGGGCCTGAGCCTCCAAAGCCCAGAACGGCTCTAGGTGGCTGGGCTGTGACTGCAGAGGACCCGAGGGTTCAACAGTTTGCTGTTGAGCAATTTCAAGGAACCAGAGCTTGTACAGTCTCGCCTTGGGCCAAATCCTGGGCCCTGGCAGGTCTCAATTTGTCGGTCTGGTTTACCGTCGGGTCTGGCTTTCCTACCTTCCAGTGCAGAGGAACTCTCACACACACCACCCAGAAGCCCAGCAAGAACAGGCACTCGCACACGACATGAGGGGAAGAGCCACACAAACTATGTCCACACTTTCTGGAATGCAAGAGGCCCAACTTACTTGAGGGGATACATCCTAAGGGCGGCGCCCATCCCAGGGCAGTAGGACAGGAAGGCAGCGAGGGCTGTCTCTTCAAAGAGGCCAAATATTAAGATCTTGTTCCTAAGATTCAAGGGAGACCAAAGTTTACAAGTTGCAAATGCAGATTTCTCTTCTAATGCTCTGTGAGTGTGACGGCAGATCAGCACCTAATGCATGAGCTGTCAGTAAGATCTGAGGGGCAGGATGGGGAAGGCTGAGCATTCTACTCTGTGGGGTGTGTCCAGCCTTTTGACATGGCAACATCTCTACCAAGGACAGGCTTGAGAACTGCAGGTGGTGGGGAGGACGAGGAAAAAAACAAACAGAAAACTAAAACGAAAACAACTCTAAGTAAGCTTGAAACTTCGTGTTGGCCTCTATTCACAGGTATCTGGGGTTCGATGCAGGCTGGACACTCTTGGTGGACAGTTCAGGAACTCGGGCATGGGTGTCAGACGCTCGGCTTATTGTGAAGGTTCGTTTAAAAAGTTACCAGGTCCAGCCGGGCGGTGGTGGCACACGCCTTTAATCCCAGCACTCGGGAGGCAGAGCCAGGCGGATCTCTGTGAGTTCGAGGCCAGCCTGGTCTCCAAAGCGAGTTCCAGGAAAGGCGCAAAGCTACACAGAGAAACCCTGTCTCGAAAAACCAAAAAAAAAAAAAAAAAAAAAGTTACCAGGTCCTCTCTGTGCCCTTCACAACTTACTTCATCCCCTGCTGGAAGACAGAGTTCCTTCTGGTCTTGCAGATGACCAAGTCGGCCCACTGCACCACCACAATACTGACGAAGAACGCTGTGTGGCAGGTGAACTCCACGATCTTCCTCTGCTCGTAGGTCTGAAAGGTGAAAGCAGGCGCCTCAGCCCTGGCTCTTCCCCCACACAGCCCGTGGCCGGCCGCGCTGCACGTCCTCAGGGCTGGAGGAGCACTGGCTCCCACCACAGTGGACACCGGTCCTTACCCACTGCTGCCCGTAGCTGTCTTCCACATCGTTGACCCAGCGGTCATCCCAGGTCTCTCGGATGCCCAACAGGTGAAAGGGGAGGAAACCGTTCTCGGCCAGAATCACAAAGTAAGTGAAGAAGCCCCCCAGGGCCTGGATCATACCTACGGTGGGAAAAGCACCTGAGTGTTAGCCCTCACCCGAGGCCCCCCATCCCCACCCCAGCAGCCCCCCAGAGCATGGAGGGCAGAAGTGGGGGTGGGTTTCCTGGGTCACTGACTGATGAAGGCACAGGAAGACATGCCAGCCACTGTCTCTTGCGGGCTGAGGGCTGGAAGGGAGCATGTGGGACACACTGGGCTGGAGGACACAGAGGTCTTCCTCTTAAAACATGGGCTTCTCTCACACCATCAGTTTTCCTACTTTTTAATCTAAGAAATCATGGTCTCTTTCCACTTCAAGACTTCCACACTTTGCTAGCTCCTGAGGTATCTTATGACAACCCCTTTTCTCCTGTCATTCAACCCAGCAAGGACACCCCAAGTTCTCCAGAGCAGAGCATCTTTCTCTCACAACTAGGTCTTCCTCAAAGATGTGAGGCACTCTCAATCTACTGCTCTGTCGCCGGGAGTTATCTCATGGAATCTGGTCATAATTTCTGTAATGATGCTAATCCATGTTACCTCTCCCAAGCATTCACAGACCTAACCGCTATTAGGATCAAGTCACTCATGGCTCGCTCTATGTTTTCTTGAAAAAGAAAGGCATTAAGAATTAGGGCATTTGGATGTCCTATCCCTCAGATCTCCTGATGGCTGGTCACTCTGCAGAAACCAGTGGCAGATGAGGGTGGGGAGAACCATCATTTGGAGAGGAACCCACAGAGCAAACCTTCGATGTCAAACTCTATCGCAATGAAACAGAGGCATGCGACCCACCCTCCCCACCCAGAGAAAGCGGCCTGAGGGGACAAGTACAGACCCAGGCACCTGATATTCCACAGGGTGGGTGAGGACAGCTGCTCCCAGTGCTTAATAAAGAACTACAGTTTGCACAAAAACCACCAGTCAGGCAGCGAAGCGTTCCCACGGCAGGGAGACTCCAGTCTGGCCCCTATCCCCCTCTACTGCACACTCAGAACTGAACCCAGGGCCTGACTCTGTGACTGAATTGTGTCCTCATCCGTCCCTCTCCAGTCTGAACCCTGTCACAGCCTACCCCAGACAGAGAACATCCCTCCAGGCCCTTCCTGGCGCCTGCTCTACACTGGGACAAGGCTCACCGATCTGTCCATAGGCCATGCTGATCAGGCGCTCATTCACAAGTTTGTCCGTTTTGGGATTTCTGGGCTGTCTCTTCATGATGTCGCTCTCAGCCTGCTCATAGGCCAGGGAGATGGCGGGAACCTGCCAGAGGTGAGGAGGGAAAGAAGTGGGTATCAGGAACTTGTATTACAAAATTCTTGCTCCCTCCCTCTTAAAAAAAAAGATTTTATTTATACATGCTGTGTGTATGTTGAATGGGAGGCTCGCCAGGCACTCTTAACCGCTGGGCCATCTATCTAGCCCCTGCCCTCTTTTTTCTGAAAGTTTTTTTTTTTCTGTTATTTTTTGTTTTTATTTTAAATACATGGAAGACTATTAGGGAATCCGATGATTCCTTAAGTAAACTTGTACAAAAGTGGGAACTCTTTTTCTGGTAACACAATATGGACAATTGCCCTGATGACAAGTCACACGGAGCCAGTGATGCTGAGGCTTGGCTAGTCGTTGAGAATTTCTTTTCATACACCAGCTCCATAGGTCCCAGGAACAACGAGAGCTGGTAGCAGCCTATGGGGACATGTCATCACTACATTCATTCGTGGCTGTGACACTCACATACCATGTCAGTGCCCAAGTCAATGCAGAGGATGGTCACAGTCCCCAGGGGCAGTGGAATGTTCGCAATAATAAATATCAGGAAGGGGGTGATTTCCGGAATGTTACTGGTGAGGGTGTAAGCAATGGATTTCTTCAAGTTATCAAAGATCAGGCGACCTGGAAAAGCAAGACGTTTTTATTAGACGGCTGAAGAGACAGACACGAAACTGAACACGAGTGTGGAAGCCCGCTGCCTGCCTGCTGGGGAGCCCTTCAAAGGTGCTCTCACCTTCCTCCACTCCAGTCACAATGGAGGCAAAGTTGTCGTCCAGGAGAATCATGTCAGCAGCTTGCTTGGACACATCTGAGCCAACAATCCCCATGGCAACCCCAATATCTGCTTTTTTCAAAGCTGGAGAGTCGTTGACACCATCCCCCGTGACGGCCACGATGGCACCCTGCCCAGAGGAGGAGGAGATGGGTTAATAAAGCCCCATTTCTTTGCAGGGATGAAAAGGGAGAGACAGTCAGCGGATGATAGATGCCTTTCTCTCCCACGGAGGCTACACAGAGCCTTGGAACTACCTTGGCCCCGTGCTCACACGGACCCCACCCACAATGACAACAGGGAGAAATGACAAGGACAGTCTCCCCATTTAGCCTGGACTACTCAGGGGAATGACCCCGGTGAGTGGCATTGGGCAAGCCCCATTCCTGCAGGTACAACAACAGTTAAAACTTAGGGGAGGGTCTCCTGGCAACCGCCACGTGCACTAACGACCCTGTGACCCCATTCTGCTGCTCCTAGGGACTCACTGAGGCTGAGCTCTGCACTACAGTACAAACCGGCCACAGGCTTCTATCACTGCTGCATGGCTGAGTCACTCTTCCTACGCCTGGAGCTCCCTACCACACAGACACAGAGAGCCTGTTCTCTCCACTTCAGCTCCGCTCCCACGGGACCGTGGGGCCCGATGCAGCTCACTGACCTGCCTCTGGCAGCCCTCCACGATGATGAGTTTCTGCTGAGGAGAGGTCCTGGCGAACACAATCTCCGTGTGGTACCGCAAAATGTCATCCAGCTCCTCGGAGGTCATGTCCTTCAAGTCACTGCCATGCACGACACAGGCCTTGGCATCTCTAGGAGCAGGGTCAGGGAAGCAACAAAGGTCACCGTCCATTCGGCAGCACTTCAGAAAGGGAACCCAGACCCAGCAGAGGACGCCCCACCACTTCAGAGCTGGTCTCATTCCGTATTTACAGACTGTCACGCAGGGCGCCACACTCAAGGCTCACAGTCACCTGAGGCTGGCCGGCTTGCTGCCTTCCTCTCCCCAACACCAACAGACAGACGGAAGTCAGACACATTTTTAGAAATGGCAGAGCTGAGAAAAACCTTTCCTACCGTCTGCTTTTTAATGTGTGTACGTGCACGTGTGTGCGTGTGCGTGTGCATGTATACACGTAGGTACACGCGTCTACACGGGAATGCAGGCCAAGCCGTACATGTGGAGGCCAGAGAACAGCTTTGGGGAGTTGTTTCTCTCCCTCTCCCTTCAGATGTGTTGCAGGCAGCGAACTCAGGTCACGAGGCTGTGGCAAGCACCATCGCCCTCTGAGTGCTCTCTGAGCGACTCCCTGGCTTCGACTCTCCACATTTTACTTGAACGCTAGCTCCCTCCTTGCCTGAGTTACCCGAACAATTGTTCTTCCTCATTCACTTTCTCCGTGTGGACCTGGAAACTGACCAGACACTAAGAGTCCAGCGGCGATCAGCGCTGGACCAGAAGCCAGGCCAGACTCTTTATTATCTGACTGCTCCAGTTCTGGGCACCCTGAATACCTCTAAGCCTCTACCTCCAAGTTCTGCATGACATCGTTACAACAAGCACTCCGAACAGCAATCACCACGTGGGTTAGTGTGGCTTTCTCCCTTTGAACAACAAGGTCACGTTCTGGTGGTGCAGGTGCATTCCCTATTCCCCTGGTGCAAGCCAAGAAACCAGTCCAGAGCCGAGAAGAGATTCTATTTAAGCTTCCTGCTGTACCTGGGGTTCACCTGGTTCACTGGAATGTTGAGGCGGGCAGCAATGTCTTCCACAGTTTCGTTGCCTTCTGAGATGATGCCCACACCCTTGGCAATGGCTTTGGCTGTGATCGGATGGTCTCCTGTGACCATGATGACCTGAAACAGGAAATTGGATAATATGTATCAACTCACCAAAAACATACACATGTATTTACAGAAAGAAACCACAGCCCCAAATCAAGATTTTATGACACACGGTCACATCATATTTCATGTATCATCTCTTTTAACAGAAACGTAAAATCCAATTTTACTAAAACCCCCCAGAGAGAGAGAGAGAGAGAGAGAGAGAGAGAGAGAGAGAGAGAGAGAGAGAGAGAGAGAGAAGAAAGAAAACCTAATCTTGGTGGGTGGGACTGTAAAGGCAAAGGTATGTATAGGTAGAGGTGTGTATAGGCAAAGGTGTGTCTACTGCTGGTTAGTACTTATACACTCACACAATTCTGAAGAATAGTTACAGATTTTAATTGTGTGTATATGAGTTTGTATCGAGGGGAGAGGGATAGCATGGTGCAGGAGTCCTTGAAAACCAGAGGCATCAGATCCCCTGGAGCCCGAGTCACAGGTGGCTGTGAGCTGCGTGACGTGGAGTGCTGGGTCCCATGCAAGAGCAGTAAGAACTCTTAACCACTAAGCCATGTCCCCAGACTATGTTCCTATTTTTTTTTTAACTTCAAAAGAAACAAAGCACTTGACAGAATAATTTCTATCAAGCTTCTCAATGAAGTATTTTCGTAGGTGTGAAAACAGCGGAAGTGACAGGGTAAATACAACACCACGTGAGCCCTTCACAGAAGACAGAACAAGTCACTGAAGAGTGAAAACACCAGAGAGGCGTCGTCTGTTCTTTATCCAACACTTGAACAATTATCTGATCCTTCAGGGTTGCGCCCAAGGCTTTGGAAATGAGAAACTGATAGACACTCCGAGAGGGGAAGCAGCTGCCTAGATCCGGGAAGCATCCACAGGCAGGGCACCAGGGCTCTGTGATGGAACCAGTGAAACACCGGGCCCTACCTTAATCCCAGCGCTGCGGCATTTGCCCACGGCATCGGGGACAGCGGCTCGAGGAGGGTCAATCATGGAGATCAGACCCACAAAGCAGAGGTTATCCACAGGGAAATTGACTTCATCAGTGTCAAACTGGAAGCCTTCCGGAAACTGTTCGTCGGGCAGAAGGAGGTGGCAGAAACCTGCAAAGGACGGCAGGGTACCCATCAGGGTTTCCAGTGCTGTAGGCAGTGGGGGACCATTGCAGCCCATCATCCATCATGACTACCTTGGGCAGGATGTTTAATGCGGAAGAGGCTAGTTTATGAATAATACAGTCAGTGAAAGAAAACAAAAATGGCTGAAGGACAGAACCCACAAGCAAGAACTACCAAGGGACAGGAATATTCAACGTGGGGAACACTGGACCGACAGCTCCTAGTTTTTAGTACCAGCCCACCAGGCAGCCCAGCACCTATGCAATTATGTCTAGCTACCTTATCTGGAAACCTGAGGGCATCTCTTCCTGTCTAGACATGTATTACTGAGCACCAGTGCGGGTATGCATAGGAGCTACTTTGAAGATGAATGCAGAACAGACATCCTGCTGTAACTGGACCTAGAGAATTCAACTTGATCAAGTGATTGGTTCTCAATTATCCCACCAGGAAAGAATCAAATAATGGATTTGTAGCTATCAACACACAAAATACTCTAAGTGCCACTTGCCCAAATACAATGGACAGTGGGCAAAATGAACGTGTAAGCCTCAACAGCTGCCCGGCTACCACAGACAGGAAGCACCCTGGCTTTTAGTTTGCTGCTGGTCTTATGAGTGGAATGGTCGCTTCCCATGGACCATGCACAGCCATCCCAGGCATTACTTAGGCACACCAAAAATGGATAGATTTTAATTAAGCTTACAGACCATGGCCATAACAAAGAGTTTAGCTAATAAAGCTCTCACCCTATCCCCCACCCAGAACTAACCATCACGTGGCCACAGGTGTAAGTCCATGCCAGTAGCAAATCATCAAGACTCTGTTTCCCAAGATAACCATTATGTCTCTACCACTTTCTGCTTTAAACAATATAAGACAACAACAACAACAACAAAAAGCAAGATGGCCCCAGAAAGAATTGACACAGAGATAAGTAACTGCTGTGGCTGTCTAGGACCAAGCCATGCTCTGGAGCCATAGGTAGTCACCTGCATACCTAGCACTCGCTCCCCAAGGCCTCCCAACTCCAGGTAGGCATTCTGAAAGGCGTCTTTCAGCTCATCGTCCAGCGGCTGCTCCTTGCCATGGAGGAGGATGGAGCTGCAGCGGTCCAGGATCCTTTCTGGGGCGCCCTTCATCACCAGCAGGTGTTTAGGCTCGGAAGTGTTTGGGTTCTTGTGAATGGACAACTGTGAAGATTATTTAGGAAGAAACATTAGGTGGCTGCACATGGCAGTCCAGGGAGAAAAAGGAGGCTCTCCTAACTAGCGGGTATCTCCTATAAGACAAGCTAAGATCTTTCTGAACCCGTAAATCTCTCACATGCTGAACGCTACAGAAGAAAAGAGCGAGCACTGTGCTGTACGCCTAAGTTCACATGTGAACACACGTCTTCTACGTGTGTGCTCACAGAGGCAATCTCCCAAACTCTTGGAGAACGCTGGCTAAGGCTAGTGTACAGATTCTCCCTCCTGTTCAGCCCCCAACTCCAAAGTCCCCAACAGCATTCAAAGAGAGGTTTCATTTTTCCTACTGCTTTTCAAATAATTGAAAGGGAGACATTGTCAAACCTGAGCGGAGACTATCTCTTCCTCTAGCTCATCTCCCCCAGCCTCCCCGCTGCCCCATGAGAAGGCCCCAGATCTACACACCTGGTACTTGTTGGTGGAGTTGAAGGGAATCTCCACTATCTTGGAGTACTTCTCCCGCATCTCCATCACGGAGCCACAGCAGACCTCAATGCACTTTAGGAGTGCCGACTCAGAGGCATCGCCTGCAACTGCCCGCTGGGAACAGAGACACAGTCCGTTAATGCCCCGCAAAGGCATCACGAGAAACCCAAAGAACTCTGGATGTCCTCCAATCTTGTCAGTGGTGGAGAAAACAGGCGAGGAGGGACCCAGACCAGGCTGTTCACGGTGCCTCAGGCCAGTCTAAGCGCCTTCTTCCCCACCCATGTCAGCTTCAGGCGAAAAGGTGCCAGAAGGCACCACCGGCACACCCTCCCAACCTCCTGCAGTCTAGTTTTACCTTCCTCAGGCCTGCTAAAAAGCCTCAGTCAACCCTATTCACAACTGAACATTTCCAGTTCTAAGTCTGAAAAAACCAAAAAACAAAACTACAGCAAACACTTCCACCATCGCTCACTGGCCCAGACTTTAAAACAGCTCAGGGTTCAAAGCCAGGAAGACTGTGTCAAGGGCAAGGCAAAGGTTTAGAGCTCTTAAGCTAATTCTGCTGTGCAAACAACCACAACAAAAACCTGGGCTGACTCTCTCACCAGCTCTGGCAGTAGCATAATCAGCTGGCATTTTATGCGGTCTTCACTTTGGGGACACACACTTAGCGTTTTCCATGATCTACTTCCTTCACTGTCACACAGCTAGCTACCCTGACTTCCTAGGCAGTTAGTTCTACCTGTCAACTTCTATACAGGCGAACGTCTTAGACCTCTGACAGGAAAGCCTGGACACTCAGGTGAGCAAAGGGATGCTCACGAGGACATCTGTAACCCATGGTCCTTCTGGGACCGCACTGTCTGTCACTTGAGCCACACAGGCCAGTCCCAGCCATTTCAGAGTTGGTGAGTATTCCAGGAGGCCGGGACTGCGCTTGATCTTATTTCTGCATCATTAGTAAGCAAGCTAAGAACGAGTGAGATAAGGGAAATAGCTGAGCTATTTTAAGAACATAAATGGCTTAGGGGATTTACTGGAATCTGGTGTATCTGAACATGGCAAACACAATTACAGTCCAGAGCAGTCTCAGAGCCCCTTTGGTTAGGTGCTATCACAGGAACGAGGGGAAACCTAGTCTGCTTAGGTTTTCCACCAGGAAAGAATCTCTCTCCTCGTCCCGTCTCACTCAGGTCAGAGTTTTACTTTATCCATATGGACTGTGGCCACTGGAAGCACTTCGGGGCTCTAGGCAACACAACGTTTGCGATACAAAGCAAAGATTCCTACAGAAGACCTCAAGCATTATGCAATGAAGTTGCTTTTCTACACACAAAGGTAAGGTGCTGTTTAGAAAGAAAGGTGGCAGTTCTTCCCTGGTGACTATATCCTTACCCCCACCCCCACCCCAAACCAGCAAAAGTGCTTCTGGGGTATACCTTAAGAATAGGCAGGTTTTCTTGGTTTGCCTGAAACACGGCCCTGTTACAGAGACCAGCAATTCTGGACAGAGCGAACCAGGTGGCCGACGTCTTGTCAAAGGAGACACCTGATGGAAACAAGAAAACACGACTTTTAAAAAATTAATTTAGCCGGGCGGTGGTGGCGCACGCCTTTAATCCCAGCACTTGGGAGGCAGAGCCAGGCGGATCTCTGTGAGTTCGAGGCCAGCCTGGGCTACCAAGTGAGTCCCAGGAAAGGCGCAAAGCTACACAGAGAAACCCTGTCTCGAAAAACCAAAAAAAAAAAAAAAATTAATTTATATGTGTGTTTCTCTGTGTGTGTGCTTGCATGCATGAATTTATGTGTCCCATGAGCATGCCGGTCCTCAGAGAAGTGAGAGGCATCAATCCCCAGCAACTGGAGTTACAGGCAGTTGTGAACCGCCTTGACATAGGTTCTGGGAATCAAACCCAGGTCCTCTGCAAGATCAGCAAGCACCCTTAACTGAACCATCACTCTAGCCTCAAGACTTGTTAACTTTGAATGCTGTGTCATTTAAAAGTTCTATTAAAGTCTATCCCCCGCCCCCAAATCCAAAATGAGGTATTCACTTCTTAATTAAACACATTAGCTTGTAGTGGTTCTCGATCATATGCATAGGGTAAATTAATTTTTCTTCTCTTTCTCTCTCTCCCCAACAATAAATAACAAACTAAAAAAACAAAACACTGTCATGAGCTTCATCAAAAAGGAAAAAAAAAAAAGACAAGCGGGGCTGGCAAGATGGCTCAGAGGCGTGGTGAGGGCTCCTGCTGCTCAGCATGATGATCCGGACTCGGTCCCCGGATCCTACATGACAGGAGAGAACAGCCTCCTGCAAGCTGCCCTCTGACCTCCACACGGTGCAAGAGCACACCTGGGCCCACACACGCACACAATAAATAAAGCAGGGCAGGCAGGTAGGTGCTGCAGCGGGAGGTGGGGCCCAGCCTTACCACTCTGATTCTCCGTGGTGTCAGCCTCGTGGATCTGATTGTCGAACCACATGTGGGCCACGGTCATCCGGTTCTGAGTCAGAGTTCCAGTTTTGTCTGAGCAGATGGTAGACGTGGACCCCAAGGTCTCCACAGCTTCCAAGTTCTTGACCAGGCAGTTCTTCCTGGCCATGCGCTTGGCAGTGAGCGTCAGGCACACCTACAGGAAGGGCAGGCCAGAGAGGACATCACTCGGCCAAGCTCGAGTGCTACAGAAACTCCACTACATCCTAAGACCGAAGACATGTATTTAAAACTCAATGTCTCCAACCTTCTCCTGAAGTCATGAAGATGGTGGAGACTCCCTCCCTCCCCCCCACCCCCAAAACAATGTAATAAAAATAACAGACTTTATCAAGTCAATCCTCCATACTGATCTCCACGTTATTATTTTTCCTCCACTGTCCTGAGTTGGGCTACATGATAACTTGAGAACACAATGTCATGTTTTGGGGTTCCTGATAAACCTAAGCTGATGTTTCTCTGTTACATCTTACGTGATGTGGAACCAAAGACCACACAGACAAATCCAGAACATAAATACAGAAGTTGGAAACAAGAGGCTCATGGCCAAGCCCTGCACCCATACAAGCTGATCTTACCGTGACAGTGGCCAGCAAACCTTCCGGCACATTGGCTACGATGATCCCAATGAGGAAGATGACAGCCTCCAGCCAGGTGTACTCCAGGATCAGGGAAAGGATGAAGAAAGAGACCCCCAGGAACACGGCCACACCCGTGATGAGGTGGATGAAATGTTCGATTTCTTCAGCAATGGGTGTCTGGCCGCCTTCCAGCCCAGAAGCAAGTGTGGCGATTCTGCCCATCACAGTTCGATCCCCAGTGTACACCACGATGCCACGTGCAGTCCCTTGAGAGAAGGGGAGGGGAAACTGTCAGCCAGAGGCCAGAGAACGTGCTCAGTTTTGAAAGAGACAGAATACACATGTGTAGACTTCTGTCCTTGAAAAGGGCCTAGCTCTCCGGGTAACTTGCTGTTTTAAAGCAGAGTCCTTGATGAAGGGATTGTGACCCACTGCCAGGAGAGCAGGAGTCACGCTGGCCTGCTGCTATCAGTACAGAGCACTGTGCGGGGAGAAGGGAAGGCTTCCTGGGCTTTCCTGGCAGCAGGTGAAGCCTCTCTGCTCTGTGCTGAGGGAAGCTGTCAGAACAGAGTCAGCAAAAAGGGAGGAATTGTGCCTATCTTCTCTCTCTTTCTGTTACCACCCACAGTAAATACTAAGGCACGCCAGAAAGTGCCTTAAATAGCCTACCTTCCACACAGTTGGTTGAGAAGAAAGCAATGTTCCTCGTCTCCAAGGGGTTCTCGTTGGTGAAATCTGGGGACCGAGTCTGGGGTTCTGACTCACCGGTGAGTGAGGAGTTATCCACCTGTGTGTAAGAGGAAGTGTAGGGTGTTACCCAGGCTCACCACAGGCTACTGTGACCCTCAGCTCATCCTGCCTCCCGAGCAGAGCTGGCCAGGAGAGGTCTCCTGCAAACCTACCTTGCAGCCGTTTGCAGAGATGATTCTGAGATCAGCAGGAATCCGGTCTCCACCTTTCACCTCCACCAGGTCCCCGACTACGACATCTTCTGCGTTGATGCTCATTTTCTCGCCATTTCGAATTACAAGTGCTTGCTTTGGAAGGGGAGACAGTTGACACCATGAGATGATTCCCAACAAGGCAAGGGTAAAGTTCAAAATAAGAAAACCAAGTCACAAGTGAGCTTATCCCAAGTTACCAGAGTCTACAGCAAAGATATCGTTCATTATACAAAACACTGCAGCTACAACAGTATTCCCACTAGACACTGCTTAGACAACATCACTTCACACTCAGAATATCTTAACTTCACATTAATTTATGTTGTGAGAGCTGTCAATCTCTCAGAAAGGAAGGGCAAAGAACAGGTACCTGAGGGACCATGTTTTTGAAGGATTCCATGATCTTGGAACTTTTAGCTTCTTGATAATAGGAGAAGCAGCCAGTTATGATTACTACAGCAGAGAGCACCACACCGAGGTACAGCTGGAAGGGAGCAGACAAGACCCTAGTTAGGCCTCACGGCTCTCAGCAGAGCAGTGGGAATAGTCAGTATTATTACTACAGCAGAGAGCACTTTTAGCTTCTTGATAATAGGAGAAGCAGCCAGTTATGATTACTACAGCAGAGAGCACCACACCGAGGTACAGCTGGAAGGGAGCAGACAAGACCCTAGTTAGGCCTCAGGGCTCTCAGCAGAGCAGTGGGAATAGTCAGTATTATTACTACAGCAGAGAGCACCACACCGAGGTACAGCTGGAAGGGAGCAGACAAGACCCTAGTTAGGCCTCACGGCTCTCAGCAGAGCAGTGGGAATAGTCAGTACTTCAGACTGAACAAAAAGCAGATCTGGAGAGGTCACGGCTGCAGAACACAGGGAGCTCACATCTCCACGTTTATCTCTCTGGAGCCCGTGAACGCGTGTGCATGCGTGTCTGTGTATGAAATAATTACAGACCTCCAGCCACTCACTTGAGGCTTTTGCAAATATTCTAGGTGAATCTCTTTCTCTTGCTCTATTAAAACAATGGTAGCCGGGCGGTGGTGGCGCACGCCTTTAATCCCAGCACTCGGGAGGCAGAGCCAGGCGGATCTCTGTGAGTTCAAGGCCAGCCTGGACTACCAAGTGAGTTCCAGGAGAGGCGCAAAGCTACACAGAGAAACCCTGTCTCGAAAAACCAAAAAAAAAAAAAAAAATGGTATCTTTCCAAGAACTTCTAAAGAACAGACTTTTCTAGGCCAAGTATAATACACCTAAGCGAAGAGCTGAGCTCTGCCATCTACAAGTGGCAGCTGAACCTAGACCAAGACCGTGGCAGAGCTGCTGCTGCCACCCAGAGCTCTGAAGGACCCAGAGTGGAAGAAGGGGCGAGTGCCAAAGGGAGGACAAGACAGGTCCTGGAGGCAGGCGACAGCGTTCCGGGACCACACAACTCACGTCATCATTGGGCGGCTCCTCTTCTGTAGCACTTCGGATGCCGTAAGCCAAGAAACAAAGAATAGCCCCAATCCACAGCAGCATGGAGAAGCCCCCAAAGAGCTGCCGACAGAATTTGACCCATTCAGGAGTAGTGGGAGGGGGGGTGAGGGCGTTGGGGCCGTCCCGGGCCAGGATCTCAGCAGCCCTCGCAGGTGTTAAGCCCTGAGGAGCAGAGGGGACACATCAGACAGGCCACAGCAGTATTTACCAGCCACCATGCTCTCCAAATAACAAGTCCACAGTAGGATTAGGAAAGAAACAGGCTCCCAGCTGCAGAGCCAGGTGAAGCCTGCCTAACACCCCCACCCCCACCTGCTTTCCCAAAGCAAGCAAGGGATTCCAGCAGACAAACAAAACCCATTCCCTTAGGAACCTTTAATACCCTAAGACCTCATTTAAAACTCCTTTTAAAAGGAACTGTGGAAAATCTGAATCAGGTTGATTTTTTTCCCTAAGTTTTAGATTGGAAGGGATCTATTTTAACTGACTGGTTCGGTTTTGCAAGTTAGGAGCTTTGAGAGTTTTCTGTGCGTGGATCCTAGAAGGGGGAGGGGAAACCTACAAACAGAGCAGGAATATTTTCCTGCAGGAATAATCCAAGCTCGTACTGAGCTAACAGCCAAGCTGTGACTACAGAACATCATTCTCACAATGGTAATAGAAGCCCTGGCCTGGCAGCGAAGGGCTCACCCACACGCATCTTTCAGCTAACTCCTGGGAAACCTATCGGTTGAATAGTGTTCACTAACAGGCCTCAGGACCTGTCCAAGTGGCAGATACAAGACTCACATTAAGAGGAGAAAACAGTATTGCTTTTGTACTATCAAAACATCAGGTTAAAAAAGACAAAACACAATTCTGTCTAAAGTATCTGTTTCTATGTACCTGGTGTTGGCATTATTTTTAACACTGGCGTCAACTATGAAGTGTAAGGAAAGAAAAAAGCATCGGTTAAGAGAAAAAGCAAGGAATCACTCCACATCCTCATCTACCAAGTCCCTGCTGGGCTATTCACTGTTGGGTTAATAAAACAATGACCTAACATCTGAGCCTAGCTACACCCCAAGCACTGGGCTGGGCCCTTTAATAGCCTGCCTAATTTCACAACCATCTCTTATAGGCTACTAACCCAATTTACAAGTAAGGGGCACACAGCACCAGAGTTAACTGACTTCGAGTCCCAGATAGCCCGCTGACATAAGAATATAATAAAAACAAGACATAATGGGCAAGACGCTTAGAGAAGAGACGGCCTGGCCCCCACCATTGGCAAGAGGGTCTGAGTGGCGCTGAGGTCCCTCTCTGAGCCCAGGGGCAGGTGTTCCAAAGGCCTCGGACTGTTCCACTGAAACAGCAGCACCTATTCCAGTCACTCCACTGACTGTGACTGTAACAGTGAGCACCACCTTTTCTCAGACTATTCTTCTAATGGTGGTAGAATACGTAGTCAAAATCCTTTAGATCACCAAGACACAAAACACATTCAGCGGGGAAGGTGCTTTGGAAATTCGTACACGTGTTGTAAACATACAAGAGGGTGACCAAAGTCCTGACACACCACCATGAACCAGGCAAACATGGACAAAAAGGGAAGGGGCCTGGCTTTGGAACCACCTTCCAAACCGGGTGCTCCCGACAATGCACTGGTTTGTAGTACTAGAAAACAGGGACATGAATGTCCACTCCCACGAGGCTTCGGGGAAGTGAGGTGTCAGCATGAAGCCCACGTTCTGGGCACGTCACTCGGCCAATGGTGGCTGTCAGTGCGCTAGTCTACAGCCTCCAAGGGCAGGCCCGAGAGATGGAACAGAACACAGCGGGGAAAAGTACAATTCGGTACGGCAGGCTCTGAATGGGTACGTACTCGGCTCAAGTCTGTTCCGTATTTACGATGGAGTTCATCAAGGCTGAGCTTATGGTCGTCCTGAAAGAAAACAGAAAAAAAGTAAGTACACACCCCAACACCAACAGGGAGAAAAAACACCCACACCATCCATCCCTATCAAGCTCATCAAAGAAACTTTCTTCCCACAACTGCATAGGCTAAGCATCCATCTAATGGCTTCCTCGGGGACAGCCAAGGCTGGGTGGCAGAGGTCCACCATCACCTGCCACATCAGATCAGAGAAAGTCAACAACTCCTGGAAGTCTAGATGAAGACCTCATCTGTCCAGGTTGGCTCTAGATAGGTTAAGTCATAAAAGCCTCCTTAGCCTACCAAGGCTGCAGGTCTCCAGTACTCAGCATCCTTCAGAGAAAAGCCAAAGACTGTGGTACCAACCACACTTCCATAGCTGATGGAGAGTGGATGAAGAACCTGTTTAACCCTTTAACAGCTTTTAGAATGAAGACCAGCATCAAACTCCACAACCGTGGAAAGAAAACTGCTGCAAACAGACGCCGTGATTACTTTATGCCAGTTCTCTGATGGATGGCAGGGTGCAGAAACACACACGCACAGGTGTGAGATGCAATTATTATTATTATTATTATTATTATTATTATTATTATTATTATTATTATTATTTTTGGTTTTGTGAGACAGGGTTCCTCTATGCAACAGTCCTGGCTGTCCTGAGACTTGCTTTGTAGATCAGGCTGACCTCGAACTCACTGAGATCTGCCTGTCTCTGTCTCCCAAGGGCTGGGATTAAAGGTGTGAGCCACCACTGCCCGGCTTGGGACAACTAATTAAGAGAAAGCATAAACCCAACTTTCCTTCCAGTACTTACCATAGAAACTTCCTTCTTCAGTTCATCCATGTCCCTTTCCTTCTTGGCCTTTTTGCCCTTTTTGTCGACATGCTCTGATACAGCTGCAGGCTCATATTTGTCTCGTCCAACCTACAAAAGGGAGGAGGAGGAGGAGTGAGCTCTGGATAGCACCTGAAAACCCAAGCTTCTGCATTGTGTGTGTGTGGGGGGAAGCTGTAGGGACACAGTCGGTGGGCACGGTCACTGGGTTAATACTCATGACGACACAGCCTGAGCGTATACTGTGCAGTGCATAAACAAAGCCATCCATAGTGGATGACTGCCATCAAGACATCTTGCATCCACCCTAGGCCATGAAGAGCAATGGGGAAGTTGTAACAGGCTTCAAAGAGCTTGCCAGGGCAATCTGCATTTGGGGTAAAGAGAGGTTACAATGTTAAATCCCTATTCTGCAATCTCCCACCTAGCCCACTGAAGGAATGAAACTATGTTTCCATAAGTAATCTTGAGGTCAGTGCAGTACCTAGGGGTGTTTGCATGGGAATCAGACAGACAGGCAGTCCTGGGCCCCACTACCCACCAGTTAAGGAAGTTTGAGGAAAGTCACTAACTCCTAAGGGTCGATTTCCCTTTCCATATGGTAAGAGCAGACAACCTAAGTCAGCATTTTTGAGATTTTAATGATACATCTAATGCCGGTCACTCTGACATTATGATTAAATTCTCACTGCAAAGACTTCAAGCAATGTTTAAACATCGTTAGTGCTCACAGAAAGCCACTAACCACATTTCATTTTCTCAGACAGAAGTAAAAAAGTCTGAAAGTCCCTAAAATTTTTAAATAACACACACACACACACAGACACACACACAGACACAGACACACACACAGACACAGACACACACACACACAGACACACACACACACACACACACACACACACACACACACGGAAGGGAGGGAGAGGGAGGGAGGGAGGGGAAGGGAGGGAGGGAGGGAGGGAGAGAGGGAGAGGGAGAGAGAGAGAGAGAGAGAGAGAGAGAGAGAGAGAGAGAGAGAGAGAGAGAGAGAGAGGAGTCTCCACCCCATTCTGTAACCTTAAAATAAAATCCCCAAAATGAAAGGCCCTGGAAATGTTTTGACACAAGCAGGATGCAGGAAAAGCGTGTGCGTTATCGCATAATTCACAGGATCCACCTACGCCTCTCAAAACTGGAAGAATTTTTAGAGAAAATGTTGATTCTATAGTTTAAATTTAGATCATTCCACTCCCCCACCCTGTTTAAAGAGCTTGAGGCTATCTGCATGAAACCTGAACTTAGTACTCCAAAATCAGTCCACAAAGCAAGAGGCCTCTCCCCTGCAGGCCACCTCTCCCCTGCAGGCCACATCCCAGGGGAGGGGAAGCTGATACTCAATGAATGCTTGGTGGCACTTGGTTGCCATTGTTTCATGGGTCTCTCTTCTAATTTTACGTGGTACATTAACAGCTATCCAAGCAATACCTGGGAACATTCCTGTCTACATTATAATCTTGCTGTCCCAGATGAAAATAAAACCCCAAAGCATGTGTTTCAGTCATTATATTGTAAGTTCGTTTGAATTTGGAAGGCTCCAAAGAGAAAGCCTGCCCGGATGAGTGGGTGTCGGGAGATGGGGCTATTTGTGACGAATGACTTCTTCGGAGAGCAGGGCACTTGAGCCCTCCTCTTATCTGTTCAGAGTGGAGCAGGGCTGAAGATAGTCCACATTCCTGACATTCTCTCAGCTCTGGAGCAAGCACAGCTCCGAGTGTGTCCCTGAGGGTGGCTCTGGTGCCAGAGGTAAGACGGAAAGTCACTCCACGTGTTGAACAAAAAGGAAATGGAAGGCTTTCACCAGAGACGAGGCACATTCCTTTACATGTCTAATGGGAAGAAAGCACAACACTCTAAAGCCATTTCACAGACGCTGACTAAGGGCTCCTTCATGTGTGTGGCCAGTCTGTGCTGGTTTTTGAAACACAGCTTAACCCATTTTTAAGCAAGTTCAGTTTCATGGAAATATGCTTACACAAGAAGCAGTGTCAGAGTGTCCCCCAGGCTCGCTGCCTCAGACTTCTAAGATTTTCCACTCCAAAAAGGAGGAGAGAAGTATTGGCAAAAGCCAGCCCGGGACATCTTCCAAAGTTTATCACCTGTCACAAAAGCAGTGTTTCGCCTCTACCTTCACAGCTACTGAGAGTAAAGTTGGGGAGTCCACATTTCCTAACAGACAACCCCTTTTATAAATTTGTGCTATTTAAGGCACACTTTTAAATGGGGACATCTGTAAAGGGGACATGGAAAATATTAACATGTACAATTACTTCTTCAAAATCTCAGTTTTTCCAGTAGGCAATGTTTGTCTAAAAGAACTAGGCAGCTTATCCGATTCAATTCTTGCCCACAAATAAAAGAATTTAACACTAGCTCTTCCTGGTGTGGGATCAAGAGATACTTAGGTTCCTAAGGGCACCAAGAACTGTAATTTCAAAGCTGAAGAAGTATGTGTTTGTGGTGTGGGGTAAGACAACATTTTCCTTATTATTTCTTTTAGAAACAAAGGTCACAGCAGGGGAGTGGTGAGGTGTTTCCTCTGTAGACTTCATTGACCTTCCCACTTGTTTGGGCACTGGGCATGTAATTTCTCCTTTCTCAAGGCCGATGGCTTTCTAACTCAGGTCCATGGAGCAACACAGTGACTAACACCAGTGATACTCCATCCAGTGGCTCCCTTGGGTGGCTCTGAGGAAGAACATGGATGGGGCATTCAACAGGCTGTGCCACCCTCAAAAGGGCAGTTGGTTAAAAGCAGGGTTATTAATTTTTTCCATTCTAATTTAAGAACTAGGAAGTTAAAACAAGAAATACTCCATGTGACGCTTCAAGGCTGGCTGTGTCATTATTTCAGCCTTCCCAAAGATTCTCCAGGAAATTTGCTATTGTTCGCTTGGGACAAAAGGAAGGTACGTTGGAGAGGGAAAGAGAAAATCCTGGACAGGAGCAGCAAGTCATAGCTATGTAACAGGATTGCATTGAAAAACCCACGCTGGCCAGTCCTCTCAACACGGGAACAAGAAATCCCCATGACCTTTTAGAGTAGAGAATGTTCCTTCCTTTTCTTTAGTTAATTCATCACTTACAGGAGGAAATGTGTTCAGAGAAGGTAGACTTGACCAGTCATTACAATAAATATGATGATCACACATCCACACCACACACGGTGCGGCGGAAGTGACGATGTTCCTCCTCAGTAGCCTACCACTGGAGGCCTACAGAGGCACCAGAGCTATCTCTGCCCTGTGCCCTTCACAGCTCCCAGGGAACACCCAGGGTGACCTCCTAAGGCTTCTGCTCCCCACCTACACTTCTGGTTCTACAGCCAGAGAGCTCAGGAGGCCTCTTCCAGACTTGTGAAATTCCCGCTGTACTTGCTTGGAAGCCCAAGATCCCAACATGCTTTAGTCAGGCCAGTGGATGGTGCTGTTAACTGTGGCCCATGTCATGACTCTAGCCCTGCCACCCGCCAGCTACATGTCCTTGAACAGTCAGCCTTAGTCTCCTGCTCTGTCCTAACTATGAACTTACCGAAGGCATTCTGACGGTTTGGCTAGTCGAATCTGAAAACAGAATACCTAACAAAACAACAACAACCCCTGCGCTGCTTCCAGAGCTGAAAACAAAAGCTTTGGACTAGCAAGAGGGGTTACGAACACGGAAAAGTAACTGCCCGGACTGCTGCCCAATCACAGCTGGCCAAGAGTGCTGTGGAGACAGCATCTTCAAACTCAATTTGGCAAACTCCATCTTGGCAGGGAAGTCAGAGACAAGCTGATCTGCCTGGTTGCTACAGTAGGCTCTGCCTAATTTTGGCCAACTGTTGTTAGTATGGGGGGGGGGGGGGCGATTGCATCCCTCAATTTTCCTGATTGTCATGTGAAACCTTCACACGCAGCTCTGTCTGCAAAAGTCCTCTGCACGGCGCTGTACGGAGGTCACTGTGCTCACCTCGTCACTATACACATTACTGACATTCCTTGATTCCTACAGAAACAGCTTTCCGAGGCATCTTAAGGAGAGTATCAATCTGGCCTAGTATGCCACATTTCCAATTGCTGCTAAGCCTATGTGGTTTAGCTGGAGATAGGAGAGCAGTACTAAAGCCTGAGCTGGGGGGGCAACAGACAAACAGAAGACAATGGACAGACAGTCAAGGTCCTTTAGTTGTTCTCCAGCCTACAGTGACACTTTCGGAATGGCAATTCTCTTAAGAGTAGGTAACGGCCGGCGGTGGTGGCACACGCCTTTAATCCCAGCACTCGGGAGGCAGAGCCAGGCGGATCTTTGTGAGTTCGAGTCCAGCCTGGTCTACAAAGTGAGATCCAGGACAGGCTCCAAAGCTACACAGAGAAATCCTGTCTCGAAAAAAGAAAGAAAAAAGAAAAGAAAAAAAAAAAAGAGTAGGTAACCAAGGGGGCACCTCCCCACCCCCATTCCATGCCTCTTTTCACTCCTGGAGACATACATGCTGAGGAATGTACTTGAGCAAGGCCAGAGCACTAGGTCCCAGCATCTAAACTTGGGCTGTAGCCCACTGGCCACAGGGCCGAGAACAACCACAGCTCCTAGCCACTGGGTTCCCCCATCCCATGGGAACATTACCTAACCTAACCCTTCTCCCCAGTGAATTCTTAACAACCTGCCAATCCATCCCTTCTGCCAGAGTGGATCCACGATCGTTTGACAAAATAAACATTGTAAAGTATGTGAAGAATCACTCTACTTTAGATTTTCTTCACGTTAAAATGTATTTAGCTCTCTCACTTACTAAAAGCACCAGCCCTATGGGACATTCTACCTCTCCAAAAGGCCAGGATGAATCGAAAAGCCCTGTAGAGGGGGCCGTCAGTTTCCAGTTAAGTCCCGGACCACTCTTTAACGGGTGGCTGGAAGCCTAGGAAGCACACGGACGGGGTGGCAGAGGGCAAGGTGCTGGAGGCCTAGGGAAACACACCCGGTGCCATGGAAGCATGCCAGGGAGGGTGCAAACGAGAGCCTCAGCTCCCCAAGTGCCCCAGGGCCTTAAATAACATCAGGACAACAGACTGGAAAGACAAACACCCCAGCCCACGGATGACAAAAACGTTACAGTGATTACTAGTCCCCAAATAATGAAGGCTCCACAGATAAAGCCCGAGCCAACATCCATCAGCTTTTCAGATCACCAACAGAGAATATGAGATCGCTGTTACTAAACGGGGTTTGAAGAAAACTCACTAAGAGCCAATGCCCGGATATATTCCACTGACAAGTCACAGAGCAACTAGAGAATGAGGCTATTGGATTAAAAAAAAAAAATCCCTTTGGCTCAGGACCCAAACGAAACCCAATCAGGGTGAAAGCGCGTGGATGTGGGGGGCGGGCATTCCTCTTTTCTCATTGACAGAACCTGTTATCCCAAACAGCAAACAAATAAATGTTAAGAATGTCTTATGGATTCCTGACACCAGAGATTTCAGCACAGCTAATGAGGTGAGTCATATGCAGAGAACAGTCGCTCTGACTCCAGCCAAAGAACACACTTCCTCTCACACTCTCAATTCAAGGCAATGTGAGAAAGTTCAGACCTGACTCGGTTACTTTCCTCTCCCCCCTCCCCAAATACATATATATAAACGGAGGTGTTTTAAAGGTGCTGCATTGTGACACTGCCTTTACTTCACATCAGCACCCATCAGGCACGTTCTCAGAGGAATCTAGACAGGGCTGGCAGGACCAGAGAAACAGTCTGCCCAGTGCTTTGTTATACAAACCCAGGCACTCTGATTACTGTGAGCCCATCAGACCTGACACTCGGATTTCTTCTTCGGGCCTGCTGGCTGGCAGGAGGCCCTGGGCACTGATGCTCCGGCTGAGAAACGGCCATTTCACCCAGTGAGACTTTCCAAAGGTGAAAAACGACCACTGATCACAGTTAAAGTCTTCACTTAAAGTGAAAGCTGATGGTGGAAAATCCAAGACGCTACTCCATGGATCTGCTTGTTGGGCAAAGGTTAAGAAGAGTTCCCAGTCATGTCGATGGATACCTCCCTTTGAGGAGCGGTTAACAGTTTCTCACTCTTTTCCATCTCTAATGTTTCTCAGGGGAAAGGAAATTTGTTCCATAGCTTTGAAAGGGCCAGGGACTCAAGAGCAGCAGTTTATGAAGGTCTGTGTGGCTCAGAGCTCTAATGACTTAGTCCCAGCAGTCGGAGCTGCACCGCACAGTGGTATGGCACTCACTCCAAATAAACAGTACGTAGATGACTCCACTTGAGCCTCAGGGCGAGGACTCCACTTGAGCCTCAGGGCGAGGACTCTACATCTGGCCAGACCAGAAACTAGAGCAGAGCTTTTGCTTTAAAAAAAAAACAAAAAAAAAAAAAAACCAAAAAAAAAAAAAAAAAAACCGAACAAACAAAAAAACCTGCTTGTCTTCAAATGAAGCAAAATTTTGACTTAGTTCTTCATACAAAGTCCTTCAGGGCTGTTTAGTTAATGCCTCCCTCTCATTATTGAGCTATTCCGAAAAGAGCAGTCTGATGTGAAGGGAAAGTCACTTATCTGTGCACTTGTTGCTAAGTAATCCTCAGGCAGTGGATTTGGAGAGTTCAGGGATGGAGTGTGAGTGCCAAGTCTCTGCTTTAACGCCGGACCTACTTTTTATTCTTAAACATGATATCAAGTTTTGGCCCTCACCTGGATAAACACCCTACCGCACCTTTATAAAGCTTTTGGGGGTGGGGCGGGGGCTGTTCTCTATCTCCTTGGGTTTATAGAGCAGCCTCCCCATGCCCTTCTCTTCCACCCGAAGGTGAGTCATCATTGTTACAAACTTGCCAGCAGAGAACGCTACAAATTAACCAACAGCAAGCAGCCAAGAGGATACAGCCTGACAGCGGCGGCGGCACAGAGAGAACCTTCCAGGCAGGGAACTGTTACACTCTTATACCATATGACTGGCAGCCGAAAGGTGGAAGCAACCTCCCACCTCTGCTCTGCTCCCTGGGCCTCCCAGGACCAGCCCCAGAGCTCCTGGCAGGGCTGGGCCACTTTCCATTGCGAGGACTCTGCCTTACAGTGTTTTTGAGTCTAAAGTACTTGCTTTATAGCAGCCAGTGGGTATTTAGTCACACTTTCGAGTTTAGCTCCAAAAGGGCAGCTGATAATGTTACCATACAACCAGGATTTCTGCTGACATGTGTACCCACTTGTGTCACCTGAACCTGAACCTCTCTTCCCTGCCTGGTCTTTAAATCACTACCCAAAAGCTAGGATTGCTTTTCTAGGTAACTAAGTTAATATTAAACTAAACCCAGAACTGCAGTGAAGGGCTAGGGAAGACCCTTCCCTTTCCCATCTTTTATAAACTTAAAAACAAAATAAGCAAACAAAAAAACCCAACCAAACCACAACAGCAAAAACCCAGAAAATCTCCTGCATTTCTAAACAATTATGATGTGCACCTTTGGTGAGCTAAACAGTTGTGGGTGGTAGGCCTCATTGAGGATTTAAGCCGAGTCACTGGCAAAAACACTCAATAAGAAAAAAAGTGACAAAATCCTATTTTATCCAGGAATGATTCAGCAAGCTGGTCCTTCACTTTCATACCGAATGTTCAGGACTCCGGCTTTGAAAGCTGGGAAGAATCACCTGAGAACATCACCCACAGCTAAACCCGACCGGCACTTGAGAAAAAGGGGAGTGGGATCACAGTGACCTTAAAATTAGCTGCGGTTAAGCTTCCTGGTTAACCAATTATCAAAAGGGCTTTAGTCATCGCTCCACCCACATTTTAATCCCCATGTGGAAAAATCCCAACATTTCAGTATGAAATATTCCTGACCAGTTCAACCATCAAAAGTCACTGGGAAAGACACGCACACATACATGAATGCACGTATGCACCCTAACATCCGATTTATCAGAGTACTCCAGAGATACCTTAGTGTTGTTACTCTAGACACCGACTAGGGTTCATAAAAAACTTACGTTCAGCTTCCACTAAAGACTCAGTTGGACTGTTACTGTACCACTCCAGTGCATACGTGAGACTCAGCTAGGCCCATGGGCATGACTGAAAGATCTGCCTGGCTTATTTGTTATTACAAACACCTCCATTTCTTCTGAAGGATAACTTGGGAGTTCTGCACATGAAGTCATGCTTAAGAGGCAGATGTATGTGTAAGCTTGAGAGCAACAGGTTGCTCAGCACCTGTTGTCACTAAACAACCATTTGACCTTGAACAAGTCCCTTCACCTTCCCAGGCTTCCCGCTGTCTCTGTACTCTCTAAAGCCACTCAAGGTCTCCACCTGACAAAGATACTTTTTGAGGGGAGAGGAGATGAAAGTGGGGGGGAGGTTAATGAATAAATGGCTTATAGGAACAGCCTCGATGGTATGTAGGATGGTGTGCTACACAGAGGCAGTTTCTATCCTGAGAAGTGGAGGCCAGGCAGGCAGGCAATCAGCTCTTGGCTCTGATGCTGCACAACCCGAGGCCCGCACTGGGCACTTCCACGGTCCCTATTATCCCTGTCTAGCTCAAATCTTTATAATTATCTCCTCCTAAATCCATTTAGTCTCCAGGGATTTTGCTTCCCTCTGCCCCATCTCGGTATACACCCAGGTGCCTTAGGACCTGCCGAGTGTCTATAGCCTGTCTGCTTGGTCAGCCCTGAAGAGGATGGAGTGGACTCTCCCACCTGTATCTCATGACTGGTGCCTTTTTAACGCAGGAACTGATATTTTCAGGGTTATTTGGGGTTATAATTTTTATCCGCTGGATTTGAGCTGCTTTGAGGTCAGGAGCTAATTCTTCTGAGGTGGACAGGAGTCATCAAGGTGGGAACTCAGCGTTGGTCGTGCCCTGGGTCCCTCAGTTCCTTTGGGAACCGCTCTTGGGTGAGATAGCAGCGCAGGAAACACGCATGGCCTTTCTGACACCACCAACTGCCCCGTCTCCAGTCCTTTGTCGGACTGACCGTACCCAGCGGCCCTGGCCTCCTTCAAGAATCATCCCCTGACATAAATCCACACACCCCTCTCAACGTTAAGTCGGCAACACCAGTTACCAAAGGCGCATCCTGTTATGGAAAGTGGCCCATTTTAAAGCTCTCAAAAGTATACCTTAAAGGCTATCTTAGGGTTGCGAAGTCACACCCTTTCTGGCACTAGCTTCGTGGGCTGGCTCTACCGTAAGGGGAAGCCAGTTTTTTTCCTTTGGAGGAGGGCAGTCGCCTCCGCGGGGAGCTGGCCGAGCCCCAGCGCCTCCAGGAGAAGGGAGTCTCGACCCGGAGGCTGCCCTCGCCGGCGCCGGGCCGTGGCTAGGACGGCCACCACGAGGGGGCCCTGGCGGAGCTCCCCGGGGGAAGGGGAGGAGCGCTCCTTCCCCTGGGCACGGAGGGAGGAGGGAGAAAGGAAGCGCAAGGCGCGCGGTGAGGGCGACCGGAGGGCGCGGGCAGGGCAGACGCCCGGCTTGGGGATGCCTCGTCGGGCGCTCCCCCTCCCCGCCCGCCGCCCGCGCTCAGCGCCCGCCCCTCGCCCGCTCCTCCATTGCCAAGAGCCCGGTCTCCAAGCCGCTTCCTCCCGGGCCCCCTCCCGCGGCCCGGGCTCGCCCAACACTCACCCCCTTCCCCATGGTGGCGGCGCTGCGGGCCCCGCGCCGGGTCCTGTGGCTGGAAACTAGAAAGAGGAGAGAGCAGCTCCCGGCCGGGAGAGCGTGGCCGGGGGAGCCGAGAGGCGGGAACTAGGGCTGCTGCGGGAGGAAAGAGGGAGGACGGCTGGCGCCCCGGACCGAGGCCGCCGCTGCTGCCGCCGCCGCTGCTGCCGCCGCCGCCGCCGCTGCCACGTGTCCGCCTCCTCCCGCCGAGGCTCCGCGCCCCAGACCCAGCCGCAGCTCGAGCCCGCGCCTCCTCCTCACTTCCTAAAATATGCAACCTGCGTGATGGCTCCGCCCACGCGTGCACGTCACTGTTACCGGAGCAACCTGACACCGGCTCCAGCTGGCTCCGCCCCCGTCTCTAACCCCTCCCCGTCGGGCCCGGACCGCGCTAGCGGCTGCCAGTCCGGGGCTCCCGGCAGGAGGGCGCCGGAGCCCGGGACGCGCGTGTCCGGGTCTCGCGAGGGCTGCGGTGCGCGTCCGCCTGCAGGACACCGGGGACTGGAGTGAGCAGCCTGCGGAGTAAAGCACAGAAGGTCCGCAGTGGGTGCGGCGCTGGGGAACTGGGCTAGCCCACTCACTCAGCTTAGCTTTTCTCGAGCGTCAGGGATCTCAAGGGGCCCGGGTTGGACTGCAGCTCTGTGGCTCCGAGGGACTCCTTTCTGCGTAATGCAGACCGGCGTCCATCTGCTGATGCCCTCCCCAGGCTCTCGGTGCCTTCCCTTCTTTCATCTTGGGGTCCTCTTACTACTTCTCACTCCTCCACTAGAGAAATGCTTCCGAACACAGACAGACAGACAGACAGACACACACACACACACACACACACACACACACACACAAGCACGCGCACACCACATACACTTCCCTCCCTTCAAGACCCCAAAATGACTAACCAAAAAAAACAAAACAAAACCAGCCAGTAAGGAAATTCATTCACAGCGCCGTGTGAATGAAATGAAACGTTCTTGTGAAAAGAGGAGCGGGGTGGTAACCTGCTTGTCCAAGAGATTCTCCTTTTTAGGGTAGAAAAACCTGAAACCCCAAAGAATGCCCATCTTTAGTAAAAGAGGTGACTCAAGGGGGAGATGTTTTGAAGACCTGTCTGTGGCTCGCACCTCCCACCAGCATAGCCCCTCCTCCTCCAGGGCATCCTTGGCTACCCAGAGGGGCCCATCGGTCTCACTCCCATTGCAACCCACTCAAGCCCCTGGCAGTTCCAGGGTGGGGCTTCTCTCTCTAGTTTCAGGCAGCTTAGCGGGCACTGCAACCGCTGCAGTTCAACATTTAAAAAAAAAAAGTATTATTAACAATGTCAGGAAAGCCAGCGCTCTGGGAAGTGCAGGATTCAGAGGAGATACTCGCTTTCCATCTCTGGAAACTCCTATGAGAAGCAAGGAAAACATTAACTCCTTAGTTAGAATTATCTATCAACTTCAAGTGTCAATTTTTCGTAGGGTGTGGGGCTCCCAAAAGGGGGGAGGGTAAGGGAAGGAGAAACATTCAAACAGCTAGCCACTGTTAGTAGTTAAATTCCGTAGAACAATTCTTAGCACTTCCTAGAAGCAACTGTTGCTTCTAGGAGAATGCAGCCTTTTATCTCCTCTGGTGACTTAATGAGTTCAGGCCTAAGAGAGCAAAGGGACTGTAAGCAGAATTCAAAACCATGATTCTGGGGAAAGAGCCCCCCAATCCAGAGCAGCAGTCCCAACCTTGTTAGTTCAACAGAAGGCCACAGAGTGTTAGCTACTTCCTGGCCTGATTACTGCTACTGTGCAGAAGGCTTTGCTTGCTGGAGATCTTAGTTTAAGATTAACTACCCCTACACCCTGATCTAAACACTACAACAAAATGTAGAAAGCACAAGCCTGAGTTGTGGTCTCTTTATTCACATCACCCATTCATTCAACAATATAAGGCCTGAGAGGTCAAGGCATTGTCTGGTCTCCAGAGCAGTTAAGTTGGCAGCTGTGGGTCGCTGATGTCCTTTCAGGAGGCCGGGAGTTTCTAGTTGTTTTCAAGGGTGGAGAAAGGGCAAAATATGTACAGATTTCTAATTAAACCCTGTGTTTTGCTTTTGGCTTCATACAATAGTTTTTTTTTTTAAACCTGCTATGGGATTCTTATGGAACCCATGGCTTCAAATGGAACAGTGGGAAACTGGGGGGACTTGGCTGCTGACTGCAGGAGCTTGGCTTTGAAATTGGAAATTTAAACCATCTTTGCACTTCATATTTTGGTGTCTGAACATAGAACCAACTTCCCAGGGAACAAGCGATGGAGAGACTCCCTGCCTGGTTGAGATGTAGAGCTGTGGATGTGGGTACAGAAGCAAGTGAAAGCCAAGGTGTGGATGAAGATGGAAGTGTGGAGGTCTCAGGTTTAAGATACATTATCAAGGGAAGAGGACTAAAGGACTCTTCTTGAAAGGGACCCCCCTCCTGTTCTTAGGAGAGACTTCTGAATGGAATCTTAGACATCAAAGACATACATGCTCCTCATTTTATGATGAAGAAACTGAGATTCAGGGAGTGATGGACACTGGACCCCCTAGATACTGACAGGACATTTGGATACCTTTTCCAGGTCCTAGTCCCAGCCTGGTACAGAGAACAACTGTGGATGAGGGGAGAAAGAGCCAGCCACCTAGTATCTCTCCTCCTGGCTTCCTAATCTATCAGCTCTTTAAAGCTGCTAGCTTTAAAGTTAAATGGATGGGATCAGACTCAGCGTTTACAGACCTCAGGGCTGCCAGGTGTAGATGCCTCCAGGAGGAGGCTCTGATCCCAGTGAAGGAGGGCTGACCCAATCACTGTGAACAGAGTCAGCAGATGTATGAAAAATATGATGCAAGTCAGTGTTCTGAGCCAAGAACATTAGCACTTAGAGTGAGCACTTGCAGAATTGAATAAACACAACGTTGCAATTAAGGACTTCAGAAGATGGCGGGGAGCCCACAGCTAATTAGCATTTTCTATAGGAAGCAAATATTTGGGACATCAATGACTAGGAATTTGGGATGATGAGATTTTTCCATGGCCTCGCTTGCCCTAGAGTTAGCATGTAAACAATTGTAAGTGTCCCTTTTTATGCTGTGCCCGTTCCCAGGCTCCCCAGAGAACCCCTCCCCTTTCTTCAAGCCAACTGTGGTTATCACCTGAAAGGTTCTTCCTAGCTCATTTCTACCCCTCCACGGGAAAATCCATCTCCTCTGCTCTCCTGTTTGATAGATTGTTGCCTGCTTGTTTTCCAATTTTAAAAAAATCACACCTACATTTTTATTTAGGGGCACAGCATACATGAGGACCACTTGCAGAAGTTGGTTCTCTCTTTCCACCGTGCTGGTCCCGAGGATCGAACTTAAGTTGTCAAGTTTTGCAGCAAGCACCTTTACCCACTGAGCCATTTCGCCACCCCATTACTGCCTACTTTAAAACCACAGTCCATGCACATTGCCAGCCATCCCAATCAGCAGAGAACTAACTCCAGCTCCTGTAAGCTTTCCTACCAAATTCCATTTCCTACCTCAGCTCTTAATTCCTTTTGAAAGCTCCTTGGTGTATCTTTGGAGAGCTCTTTGGTATATCTTCACAGACTAATGGCTGGAGAAGACTTCAAGTTCTACCTCTGGGAACGTTGAAGATTCAGCATATAATTGGTGACCGTCATAGATTATTGCCAACCACAACGGCACCCCTCTCTAATTCACCATCCCTCTAATGAAACTGTCACTTAAGTAATTTGTTCTTATTAAGGGCAGCGTTTTAAAAATAAGACAGTAACAGAGCTCTTTTAGCTGTTTCTTGTGTGTTCTACTTTGGTTCCTGAGTTTACAAGTCAGGGTTCTGTGTTCATCTCAACCTCATCTCGTCCCCAAGCACTCGGAAACAGTGGCGTGTCCTTGCAGTTAGAAACTCAACAGCCGTGGGGGAACAGCAAAGACAGATCAAACATCGACAAAGAAGGGGCCTGGGACTTGCAAATCCGCCAGCAGCATCTAGGTGCAGCTTCGGGCAGGCTTACTCAGCATGGGCAGGCCCTGAGTCAAGAAGAGCAGTATGGGTGACTGTCATTTACTTCTGCCTGCCTTATGGAGGGTAAAGCCGTGCCCTAAGGAAACCAGTGCCGTCTCTGGGCTAGATGGGTTTGCTCTTCTTGGCCTGAAAATCTACACAAAAACCATCTAAAATGTTCTGGGGAGGTTGGTCCTACAGAGAGCAAAACTCTTCTAGACATGCCAAGACACTAGACCTGAGCGTTGGGGAACACACAAATTTTCTTCTTAGGGAAGAGCTACCTTCAGAGGAGCGACCAAAAAGCCATCTTGAAGTAGTGTGATTCATGTATAAAAGTCTGGAAGCTTTTGTCACGGCCATAGAAGTAACAGAAAAGTAGGTCAGGTATGAAAATAGCAACCAGCTCAACTCATTCCCGGCAGCTTGCGTTTAGCCAGGAGGCTGCCATTTTGGTGATGGATGACCCCCATGTGTGAACTCTTCTGAGGAAGTCCCTAGGGTGTGTTCCCTCTTTTATGCCCTCTCGCACAAAGAGCCTTGTCCAACACATAACTCTGATACCCTTGGATTAGTTAACCGAGATAAGAGCCGGTTTTTTTTTTTTTTTTTTTACAAAACAACACCCCTCAAAGCAAAAACAAAACACCAAACGTCTCCAGAATAGCTGTTACTGGATCTCTAGGCTTATACAGAGTCTGACACAGTGCCGGGTGTTAACGTGTACAGACTAAAAGGAGCGCTCCATCTTTGAAGAACTGACCATTGAGCACGAAAGAAAGACAAGCAAGGAGGAGGAGACATTAGTGACATGGTGAGAGGAACTGGATCACAGCAGAGCATCACCAGAGTGAGGAGGAGGAGGAGGAAGCAGCCAGCTCTGCCCAGAGAATTGGGAAACATCCCTGACTGGACCTTGAGACACCCAAGTGTATTCGGGCGGATCAGGGAAACTCAAATAAAACACAGCACGTGGGTACATTTTCAAAACATAAACCTGGTCTGCTGGAGGATGGACTCACAATTCATGGTTGGAGCCTTGGCCAAGAGGGAGAGCAGCAGAGGGTGGCTTCTTCTCTGTGGAGGTGGTAGCATACAAACTGTTGAGGACTTAGGAGCTATCCAGGGCCTTGAACTTTATCCTGGAGGCCGCAGCGAGATGTGGCAGGGTTTTGAGAAGGGCTGTGG